GTGCGGCCTGGGGGAGAGTATGGCCTGCCGGCCCGCGGTACCAGCTCTCACTGGTTACTGCAGACCGAGAAGGAGCTGGACCCCGATGGGCTGAAGAAGGAGTCTGAGAGTAGGCGGGCCATGCTGGCTTTGACGTCCACTCTCAGCAAACTCATCAGAAGGCTGGAGGAGAAGCAGAGTCCAGAGATGCTGCGGAAGCCCCGGAGAAGGAAGGTTGTGCCCCGAAAGCCTCCCCCGTCACCCCAGCCTGCAGGTGAGACAGGCCCGATGGGAAGGAGCCGCCCGGCCACTTGACTGCTCAGCTGGCACTGTGCCGGGGCACCTGTTCCTGCCCTCTCCAAGGATGCACCTGCCCTTCTTAGCACAGCTGCCTCCTGGTCAGCCTCCTGGACAGCAGTTGGGAGCCTGTATGCCTGGTCTTGGGGGTCGCTCTTGGATGCCCAATGCCTGGAGCCGTGCCTGGTTCCTTGTGGTGATCAGCAGGCAGGATCTGAGTGACTCTGGGACCAAGTCCTATGGGGGTGCACCTTGCAGAGGCCCCAGCTGTGAGCCCAGCTGCCTGGGAGCCTGCACACAGCTGCAGTCACCTCCTCAGTGCCTATGGGTGGTGTCTAGTCTATGGGGTGCCATGGGTGTGGCCAGCAGGCATACCCTGTGGAACCTCCCACAAGGGCAGTCCCTGGGGCCACTCTGTAAAGCCTGAAGCTAGTTTTCCAACCTGCTTCTTAAAAGCACCCTGGTTGGCACAGGTGGCCTAGGTTTTGCTTTGAGAAACGCAGTTGTTTCCTGGAAGGTGATGGGCAGGATTACAGGGTGGCGTGGGGAGGAGGAGTTGGAATTGGTGGCCAGAGTTCTGCAAGTGAGACCCATGAGGGCACCCTAGCTCTGATCAAAGAAATGGGGTGGGAAGTGGTAAAGGGGTGGGCACCCAAACCAAAGAGGGCTCAGGGAGAGGTGAACACTGCAGCCCAACCCTGGAGTCACGCCCGACTCTGCTTTATGTCTCCCTGTGTATGTTGCCCCCCTAAGAGGAGGATCCTGAGCACAGAGTCCGGGTCCGGGTCACCAAGCTCCGTCCCGGAGGCCCCAATCGGGATCTCACCGTCCTGGAGATGGAACGGGAAAACCCGCAACTGAGACAAATCGAGGGGCTGGTGAAAGAGCTGCTGGAGAGGGAGGGACTCCGAGCCCAAGGTGGGCCCTGGAGGGCGGCTGGGCTGGAGCGGCCGCAGGGGTTCCCGTGGTGGAGGGGCTGGGGGCAGGGGCCCTGCCTGAGGCTGCTGCCCCGCTGCCCAGTCTCTCACAGCCCACCGCTCCTTCCCAGGGAAGATCGAAATCAAAATTGTGCGGCCTGGGGCCGAAGGGACTGAGGAGGATGCGCGCTGGCTGACTGATGAGGATACGAAAAACCTCAAGGAGATTTTCTTCAATATCCTGGTGAGGGGCATCCTGTCCTACCCTGCCATGGCCCGTGGTGTTTGTCCATGAAAGGTTCGGTTGCCCAAGTAGCTCACATCCGTTCTGTGGGCTCTCTGCTGTCAGTTGGCCTTGGAGGTAGCTGATCCTCCAGCCCCGCCTCTTCGGCCGCTCAGCCCCACCCCTCCCGCAGGTGCAGGGAGCTGAAGAGGCCCACAAAGAACGGCAGCGACAGAAAGAGCTGGAAAGCAATTACCGCCGTGTATGGGGCTCTCCAGGCGGTGAGGGCACAGGAGACCTGGAGGAGTTTGACTTCTGAGACCTGGAGCCATCCCAGCCGACCGGCCCTGCCTCTTCCCCACCCTGGGGTATCCCCTCCACTGAAGGCAAAACAGCCAATGCTGAGCTATGGATTTTGGGGCCTCAGCCTGGGTGGGAAGAGAGCTGTGGGGTGCCTGCTGCTGAGAGCCGCCACGAGGCTACTGGGCCTGTGGCCTTTGCCCTTCCACACTCTCGCTATGTCACCTTCCCTTGCTCCTCGGCCCTCCCCACCACCAGCCCTTGAGTTGGGGAATCTTCCCTCCTGTCTGCCTGGAGCCTGGGACCAGCTACCTAGGGGAGAGTGCAGCAGGGAGAGCCGGAGAAGGAGGGCAACTTAGCAGGCTCCCTTCCACGCTGCTGTTGAGGTTTCTGTTTCCCCTCCCTTGTGGTTGCCTTGGGTTTCCTTCTCCCTTTCCTATGCACCTGGCCCTTTCCACCTGCGCTTCCGAGGTTGGGGAGGCCTCACCTCTGTGGCCCAGGAAGTGGGGGAATGCTGCCCATCATCTCCAACACAATCCCAGCCAAGAACAGGGTGGGCACAGAGCCACCCACCTCTTTTTGAACAATCAGGTTTCTAAATAAAGAACTGGACCATCAGCCCATCAGTGCAGGGGGGTTTTGTCAAAGGACAGGAGGCAAGGAAGGGGCAGGAATGGGAAGATAACGGCAGGGTGGTCTTCCCAAGGCAACCATCACTCTCTGTAGCTCATCTTTGTAGTACATCCCCCAGGTGCTGGGGTGGGGAGTGGGAACCAGTGTGTTCACAAGGAGACCTGGCTGGTCCAACACAGCCTCCTGACCTGGCAGGCATTGAAAGAAGCCCGTGGAGTGTTGTCACCCCTCCCCACCTCACCTCTCCAATCTGGGTCTTGGTGAGCAGCAAGCAGTTCCTTCTTTAACGCCCTGAATATCCAAATGCACACCCTGAGACTCCACAGCCCACGCCCCCACCTCCACCGTGCTCCCTGCAGCACCACTTGGAGCCCATTAGCCAGCCATGCCCACACATGCCTGTTGCCTGGGGAGACCAAGGTAGCTGGGCCTGCTGTCCTCGGCTCTCCCTCCCTCATCACTCAGGGTGTGCATGTAGATCCTCCCATCTCCGAGGGATACAGCCTGGTTGCTGAAGATTTACAAGATAGGAGGGAGGAGGGAACATGGAATCCCAGGGCTCCAAGAGGGGAAAGAGAAGGGACCAAGCACTGTGGAAGGAATGTGCAGGGGACTGCCCTGTTTTTACTGAAGGCCAACTGGGGCCTTTGTTTTGGAACATAGGGGACAGACGTTAAAATCCTGTAGATCTGCTTGGGTGCCTCAGGCACAGTCTGCCATCAGTGGGGTTATGTGTGAGTTATCTGGCTTTTCAAATGCTACTTCCTTGTGGGCAACTTTTGAATCCCAGTAGTGGCCTTGAAGGATGGTTGTGAGAACTGAATGGTGTGCCCCATGCTCCCAGAACGGTGTCTGGCCCTTGAACCTCTGCTGTTTCTCTAAGCCAGGCCCTGCATTGTGCAGACACTGGGTTACTTGCAGTCTTATGTGTGATCCCAACAGCTGTGTGGACACTAAGTAGAATCTTCAAATGTGAGTCAGGAGAGGCTCAGTAGGAAATTCAGGAAAGCAAGAAACCTCATTGTAGCTTGTCACTGTATAGTTGCAATAAGAAATTCCTTTTTACTTTTCCTCGTATTTGGCAAGACTCTCATGGAGGTGTTCCTTCCCCAGCTATGCTAAAAAAAAACTAAAGTGTGTGGCAGGTGGCGACAGGAACCCAAGCAAGTCCATGAAGATGGCTCCACTGAAAGGACAGTCCCCTTCCAGAGCCCCAATCTGCTGTGACCTGGGGGGTTTGATGTTTTCTCACCCCATCAACCACCCTCTTCATCTTCACACAGGGCCAAAGATATAGCCTGCTGAAAAAAAAATCAAGTGGATCACTGGAGTTAAGATCTGCCATAGGGATTTGCTTGACCATTTTTCATTGGCTGATAAATAAATGAGTCTTCTCACAGGCCTGTGGTTTCCTTCACAGGCAATGTCTCACTCTGCAGGTCCCTGTTTCTTTTCCATGTCCTCTCATGTTGCCAATTGAACTCTGGCCATGAGGAAGGGGAGTGGAGCGCAGTGGGACAGGCCAGGATCTATCTCTGAACTGGAGGGGAGCTGCAGGTCCTCCCTCTGTTGCTTTGCTCTGCCCAGGCCACACACTTTGCATCTGTACCAATTGCTGCACTTGCAACATTCCCCCACCCCTTCCAAATCCACCCCTCCCAGGCCATGTCACTGTATAGGATGTCACTTTGCCCAGGACACTATAGGGCAGCAGCATCCATGTGAAATTCAGCCTAGGCCTGGCACAGCAGCCGCATGTCAGTCAGCCTACTGACAACACCTGCGACTGAGCACCTTGAGGCTGGGCAACACTGAAGAATGGAACCCACCCTAACCAAAAGATGTGGGCATTACCAACTGATGACAAACACACAGTGGCTGGGTCAAGTCTGCGCTGGCTGGTGGCCCAACAGCACCCTGCCCAGCCCCTTTGCCAGAGCAAGTTCATCTAACTGCACACGGATGGGGGTCTAGCTGCATACTGAGCTAAGCCACAGCCCTCTGAAGCGGCAAAAGCCTTAGGCTAATGTGACCTTGGTGGCAGATGCCCTGTAGCAGCTGGCAAGATGATGAGGGTACCTGGGCACTGTACAGACAACAGCAGATCTGTCCCTGGAAATCTTCCCTCTCCCGAGGGTCCCCTGACTCTTGGCTTCATTCTCGTGCCTAGTGAGCAAGATCAGCAAGCCGGCCTGGCATGGTCCTCCCCTAGGACCAGAGCACTTGCCAGATGCCATCTAATCAGATATGTTCAGATTATACACAGACACCACCAAGCTCACCTGTCCATCAAGTGGAAGGCTAGGTTTCAAGATCCTTCTCCAAGACTCCTGTCCTTAACATAAAGCATTGCCAACTTCTCACCCCTCTCTCCAGACCTGTTCTCTCCTTCCAGCACATCTCAATTCTTCCCAGAACTGGTATCTTAGGTGTCAGGGACGTCTCTGTTCCCAAGGTCCCCACAGCTGCTCTCACCTACCTGTCTCCTTGTACCACGTGAGCCCAGGGCCAGTAACATGATGGGGCCACCTCCAGGCCCACAGGTGCTGCCTGGCCACCAGACACAGCAGGTGGCACTCTGCCTGGCCCCTCTCCCACCCTCAGTGCCCCACCCACATTTGCCTCCAAGAACAGACCAGTAGCTCACCCCCTAGACAAAATCGCTTTCTCTTTAATTGCTGTTGAAGAAGATTCACACCGCCTGCTTCCGAGGAGATAAAGGGGGCTTGCCCCCCACCCCCACCCGGGGCCCCTCCCCAATTACCTGGTCCTTTGCAAAATATTTTAGCCAGAAAAAAAAAAAAAAAAAGAAAAAACGAAAGAAAGAAAAAGACTGGAAACCACTGACACACACCGCCAAGGGCTGGGTTGATTGAGGGAGGCGGTCGCTAGGGCCAGGCCAAGTCCACAGACAACTGCCTCTCTGGGGACAGAGCAAGGAGCTTGGAAACCCTGCCAGCCGCCCACCACCACTACCCCATTGCAGCCCTGGCTGGGAGGGATCATGTGATTGAAGGATGGGTGAGTCTGGAGCTGCTCCAGTGGGAGGGAGGGGTTGGACAAGAATAATGGGGGAGGGGTCCCACTGTCAGGGTGCCCCCTACCCCAGATCACTACGGGTGCTGCACAGTCACAGGGACGCAGTCACAGTCACAGACACTCACAACCCGAGAGCACCCCACCCCACCCCACCCCTGTCCCCTCGGCTTCCCCGACCCTCCCACGCCCCTGCCCGCGCCCAGCCCCAAGTTGGGGAACAGAGCAATAAGTTACAAGGCCCCGCCCCAGCCCCCTTAGGCCCGCTCCTGCTTTATCCTTTCTCCCTCCCAAGGTAGCAGCGAGGAGTCACCCGGGCTCTTGGCTCGCCCCCTGTCTTTAGCTTCCATCCCTGGGTGGGCGTGCGTGTGCATAGGGGCAGGGGGCGTTCTGATACCCATTTCTCATGGTCCCTTTCACAGAAAGGGTTGGGAACCCCGATCACCACCTCCATGGACAGTAGAGGTCCTGCCCCTCGCTGCCCTTCCCTCCCCCACTGGGCAGTGAGATCAGCGTAGAAGGGGCGGAGTCCCCGTAGTGGCCCAAGTCCCAAGGCCAACCCCTCCCTGTGGTGTGGCATCGCCCCAGGAGCCAGCCTGGGAATGGGCTGCCGCCGCGGAGTGGGTCGCGGAGCCAGGCCACTGCGAGGAGGCACGCGCGCGGGCCCAACTGGGCCACCTGCGAGCCCCGGCCGCTGAGGGGACGTCCCCTTCTGCAAACACTGCGTGGAGATGGGGGTAGACCCAGAGCAATCCGAGGGTGGGAGCCGTGGATGGGGAAGGGGACCATGTGGAGTGGGGGAAGGGAGTGACTCCATGCCTCGGTGGGGAGAGGGGGTGAGTTTGTGTCTTCCGGGAGGCGTGGGGGCCGTGCCTTCGTGTAGGGGGTAGGAAGTGCTCCCGAGGTGGGGGTGGGGGAGCTGAGGGGAGAGGTGAGAGGGTGAATTAATCCATCAGTCCACCCGGTGTGGTCGTGCCCGGCCCGCCTGGGAGGTGGGGGAAGGTCTCTCCCGCCGGGCAACTATACCAGCGCGACCGGGGCGTCCACGCGGCCCACACTGGCGGCGCTGCTCCGCCGGCGGGGACTGGGAGTGGCGGCGAGGCTGGGAGTGGTGGCCGCGCTGGGCGTGGTGGCCGCGCTGCTCCCCTCGCCGGGGCAACCGTGCTGCAGGAGGATGTCTGCACACAGCTGGCTGCCGGCCTGGCGAGCGTAGAAGAGCGCCGTGCGGCCCTGCGCGTCGCGGGCAGCCACGTCCGCGCCGTACTGAAAGACAGGAACGCCCCTTGTGACCGCACGCTCCACTCCCGGCCTGGGGCACTCTTCTCCACCCCGTTCCCCACCCGCGCATGCCACCTGCCCACTGGGACCACTGGGCGTCCCGCCACCCCCATCTCACGTACCCACAGCAGCAGCTGCGTGATGACCACGTGCGCCAGCTCGGCCGCCAGGTGGAGCGGGGAGCGAAGCTGGGGGTCCTCCGCGCTGGTGTCCAGCGGCCCGTGCCGCGCGTGGGCAAGAAGCAGGAGCACAGTGGCCACGTCCTGGGCCTGCACGGCGGCCCACAGTTGGCGGCCCAGTGGCTCCTCCGGGCTGCCCAGCGGCGCCAGGAACAGCAGCTGCTCGTATTTGGCCCGAATCCACGACTCGCGCTCCTCCCTGCTCGGGATCCACCGAAAGGCGCTCAGAGGAGCCTCCCCAGCTGTAGCCACACACGAACCCCACCCTCCGGCTGTGCCTTCATGCCTACCGCGAAGAGTCCCGCGTGGGCTTGGCGCGGCCCCGCGTGTCGCTCTCCCACACGCTGTTGGCCGTGTCGTTGCCTATGGCCGTCAGCACCAGGGTCAGCTCCCGCGGCCAGTCGTCTAGGTCGAGTGAGCGTACCCGAGACAGGTGTGTGCCCAGATTGCGGTGGATGCCAGAGCACTCTATGCAGATGAGGGCGCCCAGGTTCAAGCTGGCCCACGTGGGATCTGGAGATGGAGGAGGACAGAAGTCGGCTCCCTCCGGGCTGGGGGGCGTTGGACAGATACGCCTGCTTTCACAGACCCTCTTACTTACCCCACCACCACAGCCCAATGTGCCCCACTGCCCCTCACACTCACTGGGTGCCCCGCAATCCACGCAGGTGGAGTTGCCCTTGGCGTTCCGGATGGCCTGGATGGCTACGGCTTCACTTTGGCTGTCTGTGCGCAGCTGCAGAGATGGCAATGGAGAAGAAGGCTGAAGTTGAACACAGAATCCTCCCTCCTGGGACACCTGCTGCTCTCCTCCCTCCCCCACCCCATCCCGGTCCACTCCACCCCCTCCCCTTTTACCTTGACCTTGCTGCTCTCACAGCACTGCAGACTGGCCAGGATCTGACTCTCAATGGCCTGGACCCAAGCATCACGCTCCTCAAAACTGGCTGCCTCAAAGTGCCAGGTCTGACCCGTGCTGGACACGATCAGGAACTCAAAGTTTTCCTCTGGGAGGAGCAGGAGTGGATGGGATGGCAAGGGGTCATGAGGGACCAAATTCAAGCAGGAGCTGCCCTCCCCAAACCCTTCCTCCCTGATGCCCATCCCGAGCCCCTGGGGGTGGGGTAGTGGAGCAGAGGGTGGGGACAGCGGGAAGGCCGAGCACATGCAGGGGAAGGCAGAGGCACCCCCACCCCTCTGCACCCCAGCTGAGCGCCCCTCCCAGCTGCCCACTTGTTACCTGCTTTATAAATATTTCTTAAACTACCAAAGGATTTTAGTTTCCACATTTTGCGCTTGGCTGGTTTCCCGAAGCAAAGAAGATAGAGATAGAATGGAAAGCATAGTGGAGAAAGAGACGGAGAAAGGAGAAAAAAGAAGAGAAGCAGATGAAGAGATGGAGAGAGGGACAGAGACAGAGAGTGCCAGAGACAAAGCAGGACAGACAGATGGGGAGAGAAAGCAGAACTAAAGTCAGTGGCCCCGGGGCAGAGTGGAGCGGAAGCCAAGAGCCAGGAGAGGAGGCAGATCTGGAATGTGGGTCTAAGCACCCAGCAGAGAGCAGGGGCGGTAGGGATGAGTGATCATGGCCCCTGGGAGCAGGAGGAGGAGGGAGGGAAGCTCAGGAGCTGGACATCGGGAGAGGGGATGGAAGATGGGGCGTAAGGCCAGGTCAGGGGGCCCTGGGTCCAGGGAGAGTCTCACATTGGGGCAGAGGGAAGGTTAAGGAACTGGGAGAGGGACTGCTGTGGTCATTGAATGTTCTGGGGACAGGGAGAGGAGGGGCTGAGTGGTCCCAGGGGCCAGGAGCTGGGAAGTCCATCAGTGGAGATCGCTGAGGTCAGGGGCTAGAGTGGTAAGTAGAGGTGGGGCTGGTCAGAACCCAGGAGAGGCCATTACAGAAGAGGCCATTCGAAGAAGGAGCAGGGGCCATGGGTTCATGGGTGTCACGGAGAATGGGGTGGAGGTGGCATGGGGCTGGACTACTGGGAGAGATGTTGGCTGGGGAGAATGGTCAGGGCAGGGGCTGGTCCATCCATTTTCCCGCCAAATTGTGCATGGTGGTAATAACAGTCAAGCGCCCCCCTTGGGGCGCTTTTCCTCCTGCAGCAGGAATCTGGGCCCCGGGTCTGATGCTGGGGCCGTGGGTCCAGGGTGGGTCTGAGACCACTCACTCGAGCCTCACCTTCAGCCTGCACAGCTGAGCCTTCAGTCTTGGATGGTGTTGTCAGCTTTTTCCTCCTCTGCTTCTTCACCATAGGAGAAGGAGGGGGTTCCCGACTCAGGGGGCTCAGGTCTCCAGATGGGGTACAGTCTTAGGGAAGGGGACACAGCTACCTCAGCTGTTCCCACCACAGACTTCCCTGACCTCCTCAAAGTTGGTCTTCTCCCCTGAACTAGTTTTGGCATTTTAACAGCACCCCCTCCTCAGCCATCCCTTCCAGGGAGTGCCCCTGGATCACCCCAGGGAGATATATCAGACCCACACTCAGTCCCTGGCCCGGCCACTTACTGACCTGAGGCCTTGTCGAGCCTCAGCTCCTCCATTTTTTTTAATTGTACTTCTGTTTATCATTATTATCATTTTATAGCTCCTTCATTCTTTAATTGGGGATAATAATCTTGACCCAACAAAGCTGTCCTCAAGATCATGGTTACAGTGTTGCTTGTTAAGACGCTCATAATATTCACCACTGGGTGCTGTTGGGTAAGCCTCAGAGCAACCTCCGAGGTGGAAACTTAGCTCCGTTTTGCAAAGGAGGAAACAGGAATAGTTTCCTCCCCATGGGGTGAGCCTGGATTCACACTTGGCACTCTGGTTCTTAATTCCTGTGACATCCAGGGATGCCTGGATGCACACGGTCATTCACACATGGTACCCCAGCCCCTAGCTGGATTTCATCTCCCACCCACATCCCACTGGGATCTGTAAAACAACTATGGTTGCCACTGACCAGTGCTGAGGGCTCGGGCCAGATTCCGATCTGGCTTCAGCAGATGCTTGGAAGTCTGGTCTGGCGGTGGCTGCAGGGAGCTGGGGCTAGGGCTGGGGCTTGGCATAGGAGTGGTGACTTCTGTACAAAGGGCCAGAAAAAGACACTTCAATAATTCAGCCTCTTGCTATCTCCCAGCCCCATCCCTTAGGTGATCCCTCCCCTCCTTAATCACCCATTTTCCCACCTAACTAGTGCCAGCCCCCCACTTCTCTCCTTCCCCTCCCATTTTGCTGGACCCCTACTCACCAGGGCCTTCACCCATCTGCACCGTGCTCATGTCCTTGACCAGCCCGTTAATGCTGGCTGAAGGGCCGAAAGCAGAGATGGCTCTTGGGGGTCGCTTGCCCGGGACCTTGACAGTTGTTCGCAGCAAGTCCATCTCCTTGCCATGGGTGCTGTGGATGTAATCCTGGAGGGCAACAGGGGTTGCAAGTGGAAGGAAGGTTGGCATCCCAATGCCATGAGATGGAGGGACTAGAGAGGGAAGGGGTCCTGGCAGCTGACTAGGGGTGGGGGTGAGGATGGGGTTGGGGATTGGGGTGGGGATGGGGATAGGCAGTGAACATCTAGGACAGGCGCCATCAGATAGGACTCAGCACTGATTCCTCCAAGCAGCATTTCCCATGTGGCAAATTTTACTAGAAGGAACTTCTCTTGCTATTCTCCTTCCAGACTGCTACTTCCCAGGGAAGACAGATATATGCATGTCTGTATCCCGGTAATGGGTGGGAGGTATGTCCTGAACAAACACTTGCTAAACCTAAGAGACCCTGAGCTAGACCTTCCCAGGTACTCTCTGTATTTGTCAGAAGCAGAGTTAGGCTGAGCTGGAAGGACCACCCACGGCCGGCCCAGCGACAGTCACTCACGTTAATGCTGGGATGGTAGAGCAGGAAGCCATTACTGGACAAGGTCACATATTTCTTCTTCCATTCTTTGTTCAAGGAATTGCCGCTTCGCTTCAGCAGGAAGCTCTAGAGTGTAGAAGGACATGTGTGAAGGAAAAAGTCAGCCAAGATCAGCCATGCTCACCCGACCCCCTCAGCCCCCTGGGCTGCGCACCTGCTTGATAGGGATGGCTCGCCCACTCCCTGTGGTCTCCCCCCGACTGTCCAAGCTCCGCTTCTCAGAGTCACTGCCTCGGCGATTCTGGAATGATTATTGGAAGAAGTCAGCCTGACCAAAGAGCAGGCTGGACTAATGAAGAAGGACCAACAGGGAAGATGCACAGGTAACGGGAGAGGAGGATGGAGTCAGCAGGTCCAGTACCGCAAAAAGGCTGGTCCTTCGCTTGGCTGCCCGGTGCAGGGAACCTGGGGTGCTCAGGCCAGCCACAGCAGCCGCCTCTGCTCGGAGCTCCCGGTGGCCCACGTTGGGTGAAGATGGCAGGGAAGAAGAGTAGTCGCTAGTGTGGCCGCCGTTACTAGCCTGAGGGCAGACCGAGAGATCAGTAGAACCGAGATGCCCTCCTGCACTCCACACCAAGCCACATTTCCACCTCATTCCTGAGAATGGGATACATGGCTTGGCCTCATAGCCACTTATTTATATTACATCGTTATTAATTTTTTTAAAAATCCTCCCTAGTAATGTCACAGTGCTTTAGACTCTGCAAATCCTGGCTTCACATGTGTGAAGTCACTGACCTTGGGAGGCTAGCTGATTTGCTCAAGGACCTTGCAAATGTTGCCTCAGACCTGGTTCATTGCCATGTCAATGCACTTTCTGCAAGGAATCTCCTTGCGCTTTCCATCAGCCCCACGTACTCCCTCAACTTCCTTGTGGGTGCAGGTACCTCCATGCACCCTGAAGTCCCTACTCACCTGTCCTGCTACAGGGGTGGAAGCGGCTGAGTGGCTTGGGGAGCTGGGCAGGGACTTGCAGGCTGCCAGAAGCTGTTGCTGTTTACGCAAGGTTACCACCTTCTGGGCCACTGGGCAAAGCGGAAGGGGAGGAGTCATGAGCAGGGCAGATACCCCAGGCCACCCTTGGGTACCTAGCTTGGAGGAATCCCCAGGTGACACTAGAGGTGCCAAATCCCTTGTGCCCATGGTCCTCAAGCCTTGAGGTAGTCTACCAGTCCCTCCAGCCCAGAAAGACTTGGGGACAGTGAAGCTGATCTCTGGGCTCCCTGATCTCACTGCTCTCCCACAGAGGCTACGCTTACAGAGGCAGGGACGGGGCTGGATGCCTGAACCCCTGGCCTCTGGCTTCCCCCATATATTGGCCGATGCTCACCACACTCACCTTCCTGGAAGACCCGATCCACATTGAGCCCATAGGTGGCACAAGTCTCGTAGTAGCTGCAGCGCTTCATGTCTGAGCACAGAGCCCTGGCACGTGCATCGCCCACCACCCGAGGGGAGGCAGCACTGATCCTGTCTGGGGGTGCAAAAGCAAGAACACTGGACATGGAGCCCTTCCCCTACTCTCTATGATCTGTTCTTCCTTGTGTTCCAGGCCCACAAGGGATTGGGTATGAGAACTCATCTCTTCTGCAACCAGGTGGGATGGTTGTGTACGAGCCCATTCCTCGGGGCTTGGTCCAGCTCCCAGGGAGTAGGCCGGGGGAGCTGAGTGCACATGTGTATGTGTGTCCAGAAGTCTGCAAAAAATGATTGGAGCTTCACAATGAGGTCCAAAATGACTTAGACTCACCAGGAATAGTCCTGCTGTCCTGCAAATCTGCTAAACCCTGAACTAAGCAGGGAGAACACCTGGTGTGCAGACTAGGAAAAGGCCAGGGCTGCTCACTCTGCAGTGAGAAGCCAGGAGGCAAGCAGAGATGCAGAGGCACCTGCAGCACCAGCATCCACAGAGGAGGGCCTGCCAGCTCAACATAGCTGCACCTGGCCCTGGTGGAGAGTCTCAGAGCTGCTGAGTTACTCTAGCGAGAACCAAGAGGTTCTCTGCCCTGTCGTTTGCTCCATCATTTCCTGTGTGTTCTCTTGTCAGCATGACCCAGCCGCAGCAAGAGGAACACAGAAATGTAGGCCCTGAGGTTTTCTGTGTGTGCCCATGGTGGTGACATGGGGCACTCACAATGACACTGTGAGAATGTTAGGCAGGTGGCAACTCATGAGGGAAAGGGAGGGGGCATGTAGGGCCATGCTTTTCTCTGCCCAGACTTTGGGATGCTGGGGTCTGCTTCCACCATTCTCTTATCTAAAGACCATCTCCCTCTGGAGGCACCCTGCAACCATAGCGGTCACTTGCACATTCCTGACCAAGCTCTCTCATGTGGCACCACACCTTGGTGGCTTTCTCTGCACGCACACACACACATCCTGCTCCGCCCCAGCCCCCCTTACCTTGTGTCCCCACCAGGGCCAGAGCCAGGCCTCCCCGTCCTTCCCCCCGCAGGGAGCTCAGCTGCCCATGGAGCCGGCTCACGGCCTGGAAACTCTTCTCATCCTCCAGGCTAAAGACGAAGATCACGGCATCAGCCCAGCCTGAGAACTTGTTGGCAGGAAAGAACAAAGAGAAGCTCAGACAGCTCTACTCCTTTGGAAACCGCTTAGAAAGATACCTGGGAACAGGCTGGCCATCCTGTGCCCTCCCCCACAACCTCCTCACCTTGGCATCAGGTGCTCCGGCTTCCTCTCGGATCAGCACCAGGTGAGTCTGTCCATCCACCAACATTTCCTTCTTGTATTGCTCACCTGCCCAGGAGAATTGCACAGCTGACAGATAACCAGACCTTGCCCTCCTACCTGTCCTGTAGCTCTGGGGCCTCCTCTTCCCCACTCCTGCCTTCATGTCCACCTTTGGTCTTTAATCCGACTCCCCCCACCCCCAGCCCTCTGATCCCAAATGCCCCTCTGACTTACTCTCTGTTTTCTCCAGCACTTGGTAAGAGCCAGTGAGGAATCGGTGGATGAGTGATGACTTCCCACTCCTGACGTCACCCAGCACACCCTGAGGCAAGATTGTAGAGCAGAGATGGCAGAGAATGAAGGAGGCAGGAGGATGCCCCCCAAAGAACCCAAGGGCCTGGGAGTGTTAAATCATTGGGGTGGGGGGTATAGTCAGCAACTGTCGGAAGGATGGGGGCATGAGAGTCACGAGAAACAAGCCAGAGCATAGAGGGGATGTGACCCCAAAGCATGTCACCTACTCAGGGCTGGTTTTTCATGTTAGGTCATTTAGCAAGCTCAGTAGGCCTGCATGCATGTGCAAGCCAGTACTCTAGACGCTGCTAGGAAAGTTCTGCCCAATCATAGGCAACAGAACAGCAAGGGCCAAATGGCAGGTGCCAGGGGTGAGGAAAGGAGGCCATGTACAAGCAAGGAAAAAGAAGACAGGCAGAGGGATAGGCATGGAGAAAATGCTGTGCAGCTGTCTCAGGAGGCTGGAAAAGAGTGGCCCACTAACTAAGAAAGAGGGAGAGAGCAAGCGAGCAGGAGAGGGCTTAGCAAGCAGCTTCCCTTCTCAGTCAGGGCCCCAGGTTACCTACCAGGCGCAGTTCAGGAATGGAGCGGCTCAATGTCCATTCCTGGCTGTTGACCACAGCCTCTGCAAGAGGAGAGGGAGGCAATCAGAGAGGGCGGCTCCCTGAAGCCCTGTAGCTACCCCAGGATCCTGCCTGTGCTGACAGTGGTTCCCAGTCCTCCCATCCCAGCCGCTCTCCCCGCACAGCTGTTGCTGCCGCTCTGCAGTTGCCTAGCAACAGAGCCAGCCAGACAAAAATACTTCAGTTGGCATCTCCCTTGTAGAACATCCCCAGACCCCAGTCCCTGGCCCAGCCGGAGGCCAGGGCTCTGAGAGCTGAGGCGGTGAGTATTTCTCTCTAAAAGGAGAAAAGGGCTCCTGTGTGACCCCCATTTTCCCCAGGGCAGATTCCCACAAAAGTGTTGGCACATAAAAGGGAGCAGAGCTTCCTCAATTTCCATTTCAGAGCAGAGAAACTGAGGTGAGGGCTTCCCTTCCACCTTCTTCAAGGTCACTGGCCCTGACCCCTCCCCAGTGCCCAAGGAAGAGAGCTTGGATTGTGTGAGCGCTCTCCTCTTTCCAACAACGTTGAGAAGGAGCTGGGGTCCATCCACACACACCCCAGTTCCCCAGCCCTCCCGGGGAGAGGTGGAGGAGGGTGAGCCTTCTGCCCCGTGGGGTCCAGCCCCCGCGCCTGACACCCGCCGGACGTTCCCGGGGCGCCGCAGCTGCGTCGGGAACTCTGGGATCCAGAGCCATCTGCTCCCACCCGCTCCGGAGCCAAACCCCAGCCGCCCCCGCGCCTAGGCCCGCCTCCCCTCTGGGGAGTGCGAACCCAACCAAGAGTCCTTCTCCCCACTCCGCCTATCTCCTCCACGCCCCCGGCATAGGAAAATAAAAGACGCCAGAATAAAAAAGAAAAGATAAATTACAAAAAAAAAAAAAAATCCACTACCTTCCCGCACTGCCTACGGAGTCTCCCTGGGTAAGACTGCCTTTGCGGCAGTTCCACCCCCTGACTCACTCGGGGGTCAGCTCCCGGTGGTGTGGAGCACAGTTGGGGGTGGAGGGAGTAGGGCTTCCTTCCACCTCATTTCCCCTCGCACATCACCCAAACCCCCTAACCTACATGCTGCGTCCTCCCCAGACTAGGGTCGACCTAGGGAAAGACCCTGTCCCCCAGGCCAGGCGCTGCTGCAAGGGGAGTGCGGACCACAGGCCGAGTGCCGGGGAGAAGGGGGCACACTGGAGAAACTGAGGCTTCCCCAACCCCTGCAGCTCTAAGACAAACTCTGTCCCTGCAGGCCCCAAAGTGCAGCTGAGGTTGGCAGGGATGTGGTGGTAGGGTTTTGCCCTGGGAGTGATTTGCTTCAGTCACCCTGACCAAGGCCACTCGTGGGCTCAGAATGCCCTGGGTCTCTGAGACCCAGTCACCTCTCACCTCCGCAGGGTGCAGCCACTGACCGGGCTTCCTATTCTGGGCCCCTTCGCGGAGGAGTGAGCCTGGCTCAGGCACCCACCAAGACCAACACTTCCGGGTTCCCCAGCACCATCACCATCAGGACTACCACCACCACAGCAGGCCGAGCTTCGACGGCGCCCTCCCTTCCCCTCTGCTCCAGCCTGGCCCTACTCACTAGGGGAAGCACGGAGCTCTGTGCCCAGCAGCTCCCTGGACCCGCTGCCAGAAGACAGGCCTGGGGGGCCGGGAAGGGGCGCAGAGCCTGGAGGTCCCCCTGTGCTCTTGGTGAAGATACCGCTGATAAACTTGAGCATCTTGCGGTCACGAGTGGACGCTCGGCCACCCTCCCGGCCCCTTTTCAGCCCCGGTGCTGGAGGCTCCAGGGTGATAGGAGGTGCAGCCCCGGGGGACTGCGCGGAGGCAGCTGGCACAGCAGCGACGGCTGGTGCCGGGGTTGCTGGCACGGTTAGTGGAGGAGGAGAGCCGGCCGCTGGTCCCGGATGCAAGTCACTGTTGTCCAAGGTCTTACTCTTGCCTTTCCGGGGGGACAGCTTTCCTCGGGCTCCAGCTCCAGCCCCGACCCCACCAGAGGTCGCGGCTGCAGTGTTGCCTCCGCCGGCGGCGGAGGCGGCGGTGGTGGTGGCCGCGGCGGCCGGAGTTCCAGTCCCGGCGCTGCTCTTGGCTCCCCTGACCCTGGGCTTGCCCTCGCTCTCGGGCCATGACAGGCGGCTTCCTGCGCCCTTGCTTCCCCCGGCCTTGGATCCAGTCGTGGTCACGGTCTTGCATGGCTTGGGCGCTGGCGGAGGAGGCGCCACCTTGAGCCTCCGGCTCCCGGTGCCAGGGTGCGGGGAGGAAGAGCCGGGGACGCCGCCTGCCCGGCCTTCGGGTTCCGGGCCCCCCCAGCTCGGGCTGCTGAGTAGTGGGCGCCGGGAGGAGGTGGACGCGCCCCCGGGCTTGGGATCCGGACTCAGTCCCCCGGAGAGTGGGGGTCCCGGAGGGGCGGCCCAGAGGGAAAGGCGGCGACCGGGAACCGGGGAGATGGGGCGAGCCGGACTGGCCGGGGCCGGGCACAGGGCGGGGGGCTCCGCGCCCCCTGCGCCAGCGCTGCTCGTGCTGATCCACAGCGCATCCTGCCGGTGGAAAAGCCGCTCGTGCCGCTTCTTGCCCGGCTCCTCCGCGCCTCGGGGGCTGCCAGGATCCCCGGACTCCGAGCCTCTGGCCCCGGAGGCTCCGGCCGCGACTGCAGACGGAGAAGGCGGCGGCGGCGGCACCGACTCAAGCTTGACCAGGGTCAGCGAGATGAGGTAGGTCGTTGTCCGGCGCTGCAGCGCGCCCGCGCCCCGGCTCATGGGGCCCCGAGACCCCCGAGCTGGGGAGGGGAGGGGACTCCCCCGGACTGCCTCAGGGGGGCCCGGCCATGGGGCCGCCCTGCTCGCTGCCCCCAGCCCCCGGACCCCGCTGAGCACCCGGCCGGGCTCCGCTGTCGCCGCCGCCTCCTCCGCCTCCGCTTGCGCCCCCCTCCCATCACACGGGGCGCCCCCTCCCCATGCTCCCCGCCCTGCGCCCCCACCCCCTTGGAGCCCCGGGACCTTGGTGCTGCTCCAGGGAGGCGCGCCGGACTGTGCACCCCGGGCTGGGTGGGGGCTCCAAGATGGGCAAGGGGAGGGCGGGGAGGACAGGAGTGGGGGCAGACACGGGGTTGGGGGAGGAGAGGGAAGGAGAAGGGGGCAGAAGGGAGACCGGAGGCTTGGGGGAGAAGAACCGGTGTGGGGGAGACAGGGGCGGGGAATGAGGACTCGAGGGTAGGGGCCTGTGGATGCGGGCGGGGTGGGGGGTGGTGGTGCGGGGTCTTGAGAAGGGTGGGAAGCTGGTGGGGCCGGCCGTGCGGAGTATTCGCAGGGGCGCGGGGAGGATGCTGGGGATGGAGATACAGGAGGTGGCAGGGGAGGAAGGAGGGAACGCGAGGGGGTGGGAACCCACGGGTCTGGGGGTCTGGGAGGGGAGGAGCGTGGGATCCGGACGGAGAGTCTGGCGGCCTCGCCCGGGCTCGGCTGGGTCCGGATCCGTGCTGTGTCCGGGCGCTCCCCTCACATCGAGGAGGAGGCGGCCCACCGCCCCCCCCACCCTATCTCCCGCCGCCCCCCCACTCCACCAGCACCGCTGTCTTCGAAGGCTGTGCAAAATCCAGGACTGGATTTCCCTCCCAAATCCTGGGCTGGATTTCCTGGGATTTGGACTCAGCCTCCTCTCAACAACCTCGCCCCCTCCTGTGGCACACCAAGGTTAGGGAGCCCCGCTGCGGGGTGGAATATTGGGAGACAAGGATGACGGTAGATCTCATTGGGTGGATAGACTACTGCAAAAAGAGCCCTAACTCAGGCTCTGGGACAATTTGGGGGAAGCTGAAGTGGGGAAGCAGGGAACCCTGAAATCCCTTTCTAAGGACTCCTTGTCCAGCCCCCACCCTCCGCACACACCTTTACTACCTGGTCCAGGGCCCTTCCTCATGACCCAACATCATCTCTCCTGCCAACACCCTCTCACACGCTGCACTTTGATAGGACCCAAGAGGGAATGACTGTCCCAACGTGAACTTGGAAAGGCTTCCCCAGGGATGGGGACAAACAGAGGAGGAAGGGGGAGGGAGTGCCTCTGGAGGGACAGAAGCCCAGGCTGCTGGGAGAAGAAAGAGCTCAAGTTTGGGGTTCAGGGAGAAAGAGTATGTCTACAAATTGACACCCCCCCCATACCAAAATGCATCCCGTCTCCATGGCAACCATGGTTCTAAGAGCGCCTCTGAAGCAGCATTGAGAAGCAGAGAGGAGGGGTGCCACGTAGGGTGTTGTGGAACCAGGGGATGTCTGCCTGGTTGAAGACACCACCCACACACCTACTTTACCCCCCAGGGGATTGCTCCCCAAGAATAAGGCCCCTCAGCTTGGGGCAGGCAGTGGGAGCTGGCCCCCTCTGGGTTCCCATTCCATCCCCTGAGGTTTGCAAGGTGCGGCTCTTTTCCAAAACTAAAGAGGGGGTGAGCGGAGCACATGGGATCCGTCTGTTCTGTGTCTCGCACCCCTCTGGGGCCTTGATGTTCCACACTGCTTGTCGCTTAGCTTGGTGAGGTGCTGACCAACAACAGAGGCTAAGGCCAGAAGAGTTGAGGGTAGGGTAGGAGTGAGGGGTGTCTCATGGCAGCCCTTGGACACCCCCTCCCCGGGGCCCCAGGATTCAGGGAGCCTTACAGTCCCCTGATTTGGCATCCCACCCTCCTGACGCAGTCAAGACTATAATAAGTGCTGCCGTGGGCGGCTCTTGGAGGCAGGAGCCGAGCTCGGCCTGGTAGGGTGTGAGGGTGGGGTGGGGGGGACTGAGCCAGGCTGTGGGAAGCCTTTCTTCTCCCAGAGGCCTATGTCCCAGCCCACCAGCCCTCCAGATCCTGTCTCACTGGCTAGCAGCTTCTTGCTGTGTTTCCTTGCATTTAGAACCAGGAGGAGACCCTCCAACAGTTGGGGTAGGAGAAGCTGATGGAGACTTGCTGCCTCCCTCCTGGTCAGTTTCTCTTTCATTTCAACAGGAACAGAGCCTGCCTGCTAGGAGAACATATCCCTATAGGGGCTGAACGCCTGCTCTTCCCCTTTCCGTTACCTCCTTTGGAACTAGGCAGAGCTCTACCTGACCTAAAAGGTGCTCCTCCCCCTCCCTCTTTTTTTTTTTTTTTTTTAATAGGGGTTGGGTTTAGGTCGAGGCCCTGTGGGCTATTCCCAGCTGTTGATCTTGGGAAGGTGTCAGGAGGAGTTCCTGGAAAAGGGTGAGAGAGTGGAGAGTGGAGGGGAGGCACCTCTGAGAGGGTGATAGGAAAGGGATGACAATGTCCCACTAGAAGCCCGTATCAGGTGAAGAGTTGAGGGTAGGGTAGGAGTGGAGGGTGTCTCATGGCAGCACTTGGAGTTTGAGCTCTGGGGGGGGGGGGTCTCTCAGAGCTCTGGGGGGTCTCTGCTACCAGAAAGGCTGCCAGAGGGTGCCTGTCTGGGAAGCCTTGGGCTTTTGACCCAGAGGTAAGCAGTGGAGAATGGAGTGGCTGGCAGAGGGGGGGGTGTGATGGGGAGGAGCTTCTTCCAGGCCCCCTGTAACGCAACAGTCCTGAGGTCCTGCTTTGTGATTTCTCTGTCACCTGGGAGTGGATTGAGAAGGGAGCCAGAAGGAGAGCCTCGGGTGGGGTCCAGTGGATGAGAGAAGCTGCTCCTGCTCGGGTGAGGGGGCACCACAGCCCTGAAGGCTGAGGTGGGCAAGAGGATGTGGCGGATGGTGTTGCCATGGCAGCACTTCCTCCCTGTGTTGTCATCACTTGCTCTAATGTCACTGAGGAGGTAGAGCGGAAGGTGTGGGGGGAAGACAGGAACAGGAGCCCTGGGAGGAAAGTCCTGGGGACTCCTCTGCCCTTTCACTCAGCTGAGAGCGTAGTGTGTGCAGGCTGCTGGGAGCATGTGTGTGTGTGCGTGTGCATGCACGTGTGTGCGTGCACACACACACACACACACACACACACACACACATGCTTCTCCCTACAGCTGGGGAACTAGAGGTCACCCATCCTTAGTGGGTCCTGGGAATGAGCACATCATCCAATCCCAGAACCTCCTGCCCCAGATGGCTTCCTGCTCAGGACTCCCCAGGCGAGGACCAAGTCAACCACACGGCTCTGTCCCAGTCCTTCCTGTTCCTGCTCACCCGCTTCTTCCATTGCCAAGAAAGGTCAGATCAACAGGGACCTGCGTGTTGTTCTCCTGGGAGAACAAAGGAGGAGAGGTGACACATGCCACGTTGTTTCCCATCCTCTCCAAAACGTGTCCTTCCCCAGAGTCCCAGCTTCATGCTGGGGACTAGGAAGTAGCAGACTGAGAGGTGATCTATGACACAGTGAGCCCTTCTTTGCCCCCAATGGTCCCCAATACACACTAAGTGGTTGGCTGGTTCTTTTCTTACCTTGTACGCTGTCCAGGGAGGCCCGGATGCTGTCCTGTAGTTCAAGGTCGCCCACCCTCTCTGCCAGCTTCCTGAGCCGACTTAGAGCCTGCTTGGCCACCTCATGTCGTCTGACTTCTGCTCTCACTGCAGCTACAGCTAACTGCCTCTGGGCATGCATGTTGCCCAGACTTGTCTTGCCAGGCTAACAGCAACCTCTGGCCCTGAAGTCCATGGCCCCACAGCCCCCAAAACCGAAGCCACACAAGGCCCCTTCTTCTGTGCCCCACAGCTCCCCTGCCCCTGACCGCCCTTCCGTCTGGCGGCCTCACTTCCTGACAAGCGAGTTTCAAACCCACAGCCGGGGACACCACTACCTCTTGCACCTCCCACCCCCTCTAGCGTTGGCTTGCCAGCCCTGTCAGCCAGCCTGCCCTGATTCCCCAGCCAGGTAGGTAGAGCAAGAGACCTTAAGCAGCATCCCAGCACCTGCTGTAGGAGGTGACTAATTAAGATGGGTGTTGGTTCTGGGAGAATGTGGCCAGCCAGGTTCCAGACCCATGTGTCCCCAAGTCTTCCCAGGAATCTGCACCTTCTTGTTCTATCACCCTCATGGCCCCGCACTCTAGTGTGCAATCTACACTCACGGACACCCAGTGTACTCTCAAGGGCTTATCAAAAAGTCATGGGAAGGAGGGCTTCTGGTCCTAGCGCTGAGGGAGCCATTTGGGATGCTGACATCCTGCACTGGTGTGCCAGGGTTCAAGTCCTGGCTCTGTTCTGGATTCCAGCTTCCTGCCAGTGTGCCCTCTGGGAAGCAGCGGTGATGACCCATGTGACCGGGTCCCCTGACGTCCACATGGGAGACCTGTATTGGATTCCCAGTTCTTGACATCAGCCTGCCCCAGTCCAAATCCTTGTGTCCATGTGGGGGAGTGAACCAGTAGATGGAAACTCTGTCTGTCTCACTGCATGTCAAATAAATAAAACTGAAAATAAATGGTAGAAAGCTGAATTAACATTTACAGGGATTTTTAAAAAACGATTTTGTGGAAAATTGAATAAAATGTTGAAACCCATGTACATGAAGGATCTCCAGAAAGTTCATATAAAATGAATTATACTTAAAAAAAAATGCTGGGGCCCAGTGCACAGTGCAATGACTCAGTAGCTAAATCCTTGCCTTACATGTACCAGGATCTCATATGGGCACCGGTTCATATCCTGGCTGCATTACTTCCCTTTTTATTTTTTAAATTGGAAAGGTAGATTTACAGAGAAGGACATACAGAGAAAGATCTTCCATCTGCTGGTTCACTCCCCAAGTAGCTGCAAGGGCTGGAGCTGGAGCTTCATATGGGATTCTGGTGTATGCAAGGTGAGGACTTTAGCCACTAAGGCTACTATGCCAGGCCCCTAGCTGCTCTACTTAGAATCCCACTCCCTGCTTGTGGCCTGGGAAATCAGTGGAGGATGACCCAAGTCTTGGGAACCTGCACCTGTGTGGGAGATCCGGAAGTTCCTGGCTCTTGGCTCCTGGCTCCTGGCTTTGGATTGGTTTAGCTCTGGCTGAGCTCTGGCTGAGTTTAGCGAATGGAAGTTCCTTCTCTCTGTAAATCTAACTTCCCAATAAAAATAAATAAATCATATATACTTCAAGGCCTGGCACAATAGCCTAGTGGCTAAATCCTTGCCTTACATCTGCCAGGATCCTATATGGGCATCAGTTTGTGTCTTGGTTGCTCCACTTCCTTTTCCACTCCCTGTTTGTGGCCTAGGAAAGCAGTACAGGACGACCCGAATTTTGGGACCCTACACCTGCATGGGAGGCCCAGAAGAAGCTCCTGGCTCTGGATCGGCTCAGCTCTAGCCTTTGTAGCTCCTTGAGGTGTGAACCAGCAAATGGAAGAGCTTCCTCTGTCTCTCCTCCTTTCCAAGTCAGATATACATATATACAGACATATACAGGAAATTTCCAGGAAATATTTAAGATGGTTTTATTTTTATTAGAAAGTCAGATATAGAGAGCGGATCTTCAGTCTGCTGATTGATTCTGCAAGTGGCAGCAAAGGTCAGAGCTGACCTCAGAGCAAAGGTCAGAGCTGAGCCGATCCGCCAGGAGCCTGGAGCTTCTTCTGGGTCTCCCACTTAGGTGCAGGGTCCCAAGACTTTGGGCAATCCTCAGCCAGGCTCAGATGAAAAAATTTAAAAATATTTCCTGGGGGGCGGGGATCTGGCATAGTAGCCTAGTGGCTAAAGTCCTTGCCTTGCAAGCGCCAGGATCTCATGTGGGTGCTGGTTCTAATCCCGGCAGTCTTGCTTACCATCCAGCTCCCTGCTTCTGGTCTGGGAAAAACATCAAGGACGGCCCAAAGCCTTGGGACCCTGCATCCATGTGGGAGACCTGGAGGAAGTTCCAGGCTCCTGGTTTTGGACTGGCTCAGTTCTTGCCTTTGCTGCCACTTGGGGAGTAAATCAGCAGACAGAAGATCTTTCTCTCTGTCTCTCCTCCTCTCTGGATATCTGACTTTCCCATAATAAATAAATAAGTCTTAAAAAAACACTTATCATCTAATATTCTTATTTGTTGGGGCCATTACTGTGGTATAATAGGTTAAGCTTCTACCTGCTGTGCCAGCATCCCATAGAGGCACTAGTTCAAGTCCTGGCTGCTCCACTGTTGATCCAGCTTCCTGGTAGTACAGTTGGGAAAGCAGTGAAAGGTGGCTGAAGTTCTCAGGCTCCTGCACTCATGTCAGAGATCCAGAAAGCGCTCCTGGATCCTTGCTTTGGACTGGCCCAGCTCTAGCCATTGCAGATATTTGGGAAATGAACCAGCAAATGGAAGACACTCTCTTTCATGCTCTCTCTCTGTGTCTCTTCTTCTGTCATTCTGCCCTTAAAAAAAAAAAAGTAAATTTTTAGGGCCCAGTGCAATGGCCTAGTGGCTAAAATCCTCGCCTTGAATGCATTGGGATCCCATATGGGCACCGGTTCTAATCCCGGCGGCCCTGCTTCCCATCCAGTTCCCTGCTTGTGGCCTGGGAAAGCAGTTGAGGATGGCCCAAAGCCTTCAGACCCTGTACCTGAGTGGGATATCTGAAGGAAGTTCCTGGTTCCTGGCTTCTGATCGGTGCAACACTGGCTGTTGCTGTCACTTGGGGAGTGAATTATTGGACAAAAGATCTTCCTCTCTCCTCCTCTCTGTATATCTGACTTTGCAATAAACATAAATAAAATCTTTGAATAAATAAATGTTTTTAAAAATAAAAGTATTCCATTAATTTCAAATATAGAGAATGAGAGAGAGAACTTCCATTTAGTTGTTCACTCCCCAGATGCCCACAGCAGCCAGGGCTAGGCCAAGCAGAATGCAGGAATCTAGAACTCATGCTCCTTCCACAGGGATGACAGGACTCAACTATTTAATCATTCTCTGGTGCCTCTCAGTGTGCACAGTACTAGGAAGCCAGAATTAGAAGTGGGGCAGGGCCTGGCACAGTGGCGCAGTGGCTAAAGTCCTCGTCTTGCACACCCGGGATCCCATATGGGCGCCGGTTCTATCCCGGCAGCCCCGCTTCCCCTCCAGCTCCCTGCCTGTGGCCCAGGAAAGCAGTCGAGGACAGTCCAAAGCTTTGGGACCCTGCACCCGCGTGGGAGACCCGGAAGAGGCTCCTGGCTTCGGATCGGCATAGCATCGGCCATTGCGCTCACTTGGGGAGTGAATCATCAGAAGGAAGATCTTCCTCTCTGTCTCTCCTCTCTGTATATCTGCCTTTCCAATAAAAAAATAATAATAAAAATAAATCTTAAAAAAAAAAAAAGAAGAAGTGGGGCAGAAGTGGAGCCAGGACCTGAACCCAGGTACTTAAACTGAGATTCAGGCTTCCTTAGTGTCATCTTAAATACTATGTCAAACACCACACCCCCTGCGAACTTTTTTGAGTACCTTTTACCTCTTGCAATGCAACCTTTCCTCAGCCAGCCACCGCTGTAACCGCCCCTGTTTAAAAGGTCCAGGTATTCTAAGAAGAACAAATGACAGAGAAGGAAAACAGCCTATAGCCAGATAAAACTCCCAGACTGTCAGTCACTCTGACAATCCTTACCGTGGTCATTACATGGTTTACAATTCATTTTTATGTGTATTATCCTCATGACAAGCCCAGGGGACATAATTATTGATTCCCATTCTGCAGGAAAAAAAAAATTGAGATACCTCATTTGCTTCCCAACTTGGCCCCCTTCTCCCTGACACCACTGCCCTGCCCTTGGCTGAGTAGGTGAAAGGGAACTGGGTGAATGAGGAATTGAAGCAGTGAAGACAGCTTTTGGGACTGAGGGGAAGGTAGGTTTTCATCTAGTTACTTTGTTTCAAATCTCAAACTTCTCTGGCCTCTTTGAAAATCTTCTGTACATCTTGTTTGGTACTAGTTTACCAAGGACAGGGCAGGTGCTGTGCGGGTCAGGCTGTGCCTTGTGATGCACGCATTTCTAGTTGGAGTGCCAGTTCAAGTCCTGGTTACTCCAATTCTGATCCAGCTCCCTGCCACCCACCAAGGGGGTGGGGGACAGGATGGTGTTCTTGTGTTCCTGCCTTTTGTGTGGTCTAGATTGGGTTGTTGTGGCCATTTGGGGAGAAGGCTGCAGGATGCAGGGAAATAAACTAACAAATGGAAGATTCTGCCTCTCTGCCTTTCAAATAAGTGAATCAATCTTTAGCAATGGAGGGATAAAAGATGGTAACTGTGAATACTTGTATTGTTGGGATTTGGGTTTGAGACTACCCACTAGAATCTGAAAATGGCCTGATGGTGTCTCTTCACCCCACAGAGGAGGAAACCAGGAACAGCTGAAGTCCCTGGCCACCAGTCACACAGCTAACATGTCATGGCCAAACGTCATTTGTTTCGTCGTCAGCCTGTTGCAAGGAATAAATCGTTTGGCAGGGTTGACTGTCGGCAACTGCTTTCTACTGAGAGCAAGCAAGTGTGCCTTCACCACCATCAGCACCCCAGCTCTGGATCAGCCGCGTAAGGGTTCCTCCTTCCGCTCCTCCTAGCCTCTCAGCCTCCTCCCTCAGTGTCGGCCTTTGCAGGCATGGGAGGATCAGGCATGCACCCCTGCTTGCTCACCTGGGTGGCCCAGTCACCTCAAATCACGCCCCGGTTCAAGGCCACTGTTTGCCACTCCATGTTTCTGGCAGAGCCACACCTGGTCAGGTGGTGACAGGGCACAGAACAGCATATGTACTGGTGCACACACAAGTCTCTGACGATTTGTTCCGGTGCTGATGGGCCCAGGCCAAGTAGCTCAATAGGGCGCTCCTGAAGGTCTTTCCAAGAGTGACGCAATAACCACCAGACAATGGCGTCATCGTGAGGACACTGCAGGACCAAGGGGAACAGGCGGGTCTGGCTCTCTTCCTCTCACTTTCTCTTCCAGGGAGTCGCTCTCCCGCCCTGGACCAGCCTTTTCTCAGCTCGCACCCCAGCCCCATTAACTCGGTTTTCAATCCGGCCCTGGTTCCTAGGAGACGCTCTGGAAGCTCCGCCCCCGGTACTCCGGCTCATCCAATTAAGAACCTAGAGGCGGGGTCGGGGAGGTGGCTCGGTGACGTAATGCAGGTTGATTGGCATTCCGGACACAGACACCCGGGATTAGCCTCCCGTCTCGTCAATCCAGAGGCAGGGGTGGGACGTTGCAAACTCAGAGAATTGGGTTTGGCTGGCCTGGATTTAAAGAGACAGAAGCTATCGGGGACCTACAAGACGGTCCCCAATACCCACCCCCCTAAGTCCTAGGGACCGTTTGGGTCCCCACACCCTGGGCTATGGTTTGCGGAGGCTTTGCCTGCTCCAAGAATGCGCTGTGCGCGCTCAACGTGGTGTACATGGTGAGGTCTCGGAGGTGGGGGAGGAAAGAGGGGGCGCCAGTGGGGGAGGCGCGAGAGGGGAGACTCTGGGGACTTCCGGTGGGGAGAGGGGTGCACTCGGGGTTCCGGGGAGAGTCTCGAGAACTTCCGGTGAGGAGGGGAACATTCTTGGGGACTTCCGTGGGAGGGGAGACTTCCGGTGGTGGGGGGTGGTCCTGGGAGGGTGGTGGGCGGGGTGGGGGGGGAAGGTTGTGTCTGAAGTCGGCTCCCTCCCTCTTTGAAGCTTTCTCCCCCAACACAGAAGTAGCGGACCAGGTCGAGGGCTACGCTGTTCCGTGCCTGGACGCTAGGGACGCTCCCCTCCTGGTTCCAGCTGCCTCTGGGGGTAGTGCCTCTGGATGCGCCCCCGTTCCTGAAGCTCCTAGCTTGCCCTGGCCCTCCTGGTCAATGTCAGCGGTGCTGCTTGGCAGGCCTCACGGAGTTGTACTCTGCTATTTCTTGTAGCTTGTGGGCTTGCTGCTGATCGGAGTGGCCGCCTGGGGTAAGGGCCTGGGGCTGGTGTCCAGCGTCCACATCATCGGAGGAGTCATCGCTGTGGGGGTCTTCCTCCTCCTCATTGCAGTGGCTGGCCTGGTGGGTGCTGTCAACCACCACCAGGTCCTGCTCTTCTTTGTATCCTGGCTGGATGGGACGGAGGCGGGGAGGGGGATGCACCCAGGCTTTTGGGAGGGCTAAAGTTAGGGGAACCTCAGGGATAGCACCGCTATCTATAGAAACATATGCTCATTTCATTGTCAACAATTGGCCATGAATGTATGGATTCTATGGATAGGTAAGTCCACTTTGTTAGACTGCAGCATAAAGAAATCTAGGTATTTTTGTCTTCCTTAACTCCTACTTTCAGTACATGATCATCCTTGGTTTGGTCTTCATCTTTCAGTTTGGAATCTCCTGCTCATGTCTGGCTATTAACCGAAGCAAACAGGTAAAGGGAGTCAGGGGGCATCCCTTCTGTCTCCATCCTTGGGCTGATGTCTGGCCCCAGCTTTACCCACAGAGCATCCTTAGGCATTTGCTTCCTTGAAAATAGCTTTCCGTGAGGGTGACGTAGAGGGAGGAGTTTAGGTGGGTGTTGTGATGGCCTTGTCTAGAACTGTGGCACTGGCATGCTTCAGAGGAATGCTGGCTCCCTCTGGCAGAACAAGGAAACTGGGGATCCTGTAGAGTTTAGAGTGTCAGGAGACCAACAGCCCTCTGCCCATGCCTGCAGACAGATGTCATCAACGCTTCGTGGCGGGTCATGAGCAACAAAACCCGGCATGAACTGGAAAGAAATTTGGACTGTTGTGGTTTGTTCAACCTCACGGCTATATCCCAAGATGACGGTTCCTGCGATGCAGTGAGTTGGTGACTGGGTCGGGCCTAAGGGAAGTTGGGAGTGAGATGGGAAATCCAGTAGACAATGCCCAAACTGGCAGATGCCACTGTCTCTCCAGCAACTCCCTGCTGTCCCAGCTTCCCTGATTGGGATGTCAAATTGAGTATTGAGCTCTAGGGTACTGGTCAGACTCCAGCAATCCCTGGGGCTGGGCACCACAGGTGCTTGGAGAAGGCCACTAAGCACCTTGGCTTTCTCAGGTCTGCAGGCATAGGAGCACCATATGCCCCACGTGTGGGGAGAAACTTCTTAAGCATTCGGATGAAGCCCTGAAAATTCTGGGGGGCGTCGGACTGTTCTTCAGCTTTACAGAGGTGAACTTCTGCGGGCCTAGGGGCACCCCTCTCTAAGGTCTTAACCTGAAGTCAGAGCTGAGTGGTCTTGTTTCTTTCTCTTTTTGTTCCTACAGATCCTTGGTGTCTGGCTAGCAATGAGATTTCGGAATCAGAAGGATCCTCGGGCCAACCCCAGTGCCTTTCTATGAGAAAGACCCTCCTGGCTTTGCTCTTGCCTTTTTTTCTGCTGCCCTTTCTGTTTGTGAAAAAGGAAATGGCATTTTGCTCCATTCCTGGATTCAGATCGTGTCAGGGCTTGGCATATTTCAGTGGCAGCCAACACCACAGAGACTCCTCTCTGTCTTCCAACGTGGATGCGGGCAGCTCCCCAGACTGCAAGGGACGGGGGCTGGAGTCATTCCCAGCTGCTTGCCCACTTCACCCTTCCAGGCAGGACCATCTTGACACTAGCCAAAGTCTGTGGATCCTTAAAGGGATGGAGCTGCAGAGAAAATTGTGAAGAGCTCTCCTAATAGACAAGACCTGGTTTGAGAAAATTTCAGTAAACATACAAATGAAAGCCATTTAAATTCCAGAATGTCTGTGAGCCAAGGGGCTCTGCAGAGCTGCCCAGACCTTGTGTGACTTGAAGGGGGCTCCAGGGAAGTCCCCTCTCCCTCGTGGCTTCTCCAGTCCCCCAATGACAAGGCCAATCAGACAAAGACACATTAAAAAATAAGAGCTTTCTTTTTTCTTGTTTGTTTTCCTGTATAAAAAAGGTTCCCAGTATCAAGGTAGGAAAGGGGGAAAAGATGGGGCCGTACCCCTTAGTGTAGACAAATAGGGGGGGCAGGAGGAGGGTAAGGCTCAGGACGGAACGTCATGAAGGCAGCACGGTAGGCTCTGGGAAGCTGGAGGCCCCAGCCCAGAACCGGAGGCAGAGCTGGTGTACTCGCTGCTCTCCAGGGCGGTGGCCCTTCCTTTCTCGGCCAGGCTCTGCTGCTCACTCTGGGTCGTTGTCCTCTTCCTTACGGAGGTAAGAGTGCTGTAGGGCTTTGCAGGCCGAGATTCGCTTGTGTGGGCTGAAAGTCAGCATCTCCTAGGGGGACAAGCCAAGGTCAGAAAACCAGACAGAAAGCCTTCTGGCCCCCTGCAGTGCCATCAGAGAGTGGACCTCCGGCTACATTATGCCTCCCTCTACCCATGGCTGTTCCCTGCTTTTCCTCCGCCCGCCACGTGGACTCTCACTGACTGGCTGTCTCCCCCATGCCCATGGCCATACCAGCAGCAGTTGTGCTCCGGACTCCTCCAGCTCAGGCACCACTGACTGTACTGGGCGGGGTCCTTGCGGGGAAAAGGCACTTCGGGGAAGGGACACCTCTCGGGGCCAGTCCTCTTCTGGGGGCAGTCCAATCAGGCTATGGGAGACAGGAAGGCTCTGTTATGGGATAGGGGGTGGGAGGAGGGTGTTCCTTTTCTAGCTTACAACCCATGGCGGGGAGGATGGTTCAGCACAAACAGGACTCCCAATGCCCCCACCCCGCACCAGCTACTTACTCAAAAATCTTGCTTAACTGGTCAGGTTCAGAGTTTCCACAGAAGAGGGGCCTAAGGCAAGAAGTAATAACAGGGTAGCAATCACTCAGCAGTAGCAAGACTGCTGCCAAGGTATGACACAGTGATATGAAATTTCTAAATTCTACTTCTGGGCTAGCAATGTGGAAGGTGGGGGTCAGCAGGCATGGGCAAGGCATGCAGGTGGCTCAGGGCTGAGAGGCTGCAGGGTGTTCAGGGAACCTGGGTCCCCTACTTTCGCCGAAACATCTCTGCGAAGATACAGCCGACGCTCCACAGGTCCACAGGCGTGGCATAAGCGGACTGCAGGAGAACCTCAGGAGCACGGTACCAGAGTGTCACCACCTATGGGGAGAGTGCATGAGCCTTCCAACCCCTGGCCTCAGGACTGTCTGCAAGCACAAGTGCTTGAAGGAGAACACGAAACTTAAGAATTCTCCACTACATTGCACATGCCTTCTCCCACCCCCAGTCAGAAGGCACATGGGCCACCATGTCATCCTACTGACCACAGGTGTCAGCGCCATCTGGTAGCTGTAGATTCGGGCCAGGCCAAAGTCAGCCAGCTTGACAGTCCCGCTGTTTGTCACCAGGATGTTTTCTGGCTTCAGGTCCCGGTGAATGATGCAGTTAGAGTGGAGGAAGTCCAGGCCTCTCAGAAACTGCCGCATCAGATCCTGATTTGCAAGGGAGAGGCAGAGATGCAGCGGAAAGGAGCAGCAGACCTGAAAAACCATCAGGGTTCCCTAGAGATATCCCAGTCCGTCTCTTCGTGTCCACCCCTGGCCCTTACCTTGATGGTCTCTACTGGCAAGCCCGGTGGGGGTGCCTTGTTCAGGTACGCCCTTAAGTCCTGCTCCACGTGCTCAAACACTAGGGTCACCCTGATCTCCCGGTCAGTTCGAGAGGTGGCACAGACGTCCATCAGCCTGGCCAGAGGAAATGGTCACTCGCTCATTAGTTTCCCCACTTCCCTCCCTATCACCACCCCCACTCCCATCCCTGCACCCTCCTCTCACCGGACAACATTGGGGTGCTCAAAAGCCTCCAGCCGCCTCAGTAAAGCCACCTCCCGAACAGTGCTGATGGGAAGGCCCCCTCCCGGCGTCGCTTCACTGGGGACACGCAGGCTCTTGAGGGCCACAAAGTGGCCACTGAGAGGATCCCGGGCCTTGTACACGGTCCCATAGGCGCCCACGCCAATTTCGGCCACCGGCTCATATCGAGAGACAGCCATCCTCAGATCAGTGTCGACCCTACTGAACACACGGATTCTTACCACTCAGTGCTCTTCCAGAATTAGGATCGCACGCGATGGCAGTGGCCAGGTGATTCCCACCCCAGGTAGCACAAAGAGCCATCCACTCAATCCCCCGCGCTCCTCAACCTCCCCGGGACGTCTGTTCAGGTAACACAGCCCCTCCAGCCACATGAGACCCCGAAAAGGAAAAAAAAAAAAGTCAAAAGACCCTTTCTTTTCTCTTCAGGAACATCGCATCCAACACAAAGACGATCACACGGGACAACACACCTGGTCCCGAAGATCCCACGCCTCAGTCCCTAAGATTTCACCTCCCCACGTCCACAAAAGCTGTGCTTCCCGCCCCTGGGCGACCCTCCCATAAATCGCCGGCGCAGCGCACGCGTGTGAGGCGGTGGGGGGTGGGACGGGACTGGTGCCTTAATCGTGGCAGGGGCTGTGCTCACCTCACGCCAGGCTGGGAGCTGCAAGGGGTGGCCCGTTATCAGAGTCCCGGAGCTGGTTCCTGCAGCACCGCCATACACCCGAGCTCTGTCCTGGGCAGCTGGACGCTCCGGGCCTGACCATAGAACACAGGCCAGAGACTAGAGAGGCCCCCTCACCTCCACCCTCACCATGTGACCAGCGGCCAGAGAGGCGCGCAGAAACTGCGAGGGCGGGGCGGGCGCCGGACGTTCGGGACACGTGACTGCCACCCATGCGCAGAGGGGCGGCCCGGCGGGGCTGGACGGGGTAGGTGGAAGGGCGGGTGGGGGGCGGCGTGCTGAGAAGGGGGCGGAGGGGAGATGGCAGCCACGTGACCTGTTGCTATCACACGTGACCGCTTGACATTGCTCGGAGGAGCAGAGGTGTGGTTACGCGGTGGGGCACGTGACCCGGCTGCCTAAAGCCCCATCTCTGGGGGGTGGGGTGGGGTAGGAGAGGGGGACCAGGAGAGGGCGGAGCCCAAGGCGGTGCCATGGCAACCCAGGCCACCCAGCTCCCGGCTGCTGAAGGCCGAGCCTGGCAGGGAGACGGGGGCGTCCTCTGGGGGCTGTCACCTTTCTGCTTCCCGGCCGTGGCAAACAGTGTCACCCGTGTTCTTTGTTTCGTTCATTCATTCAACAAAATTTTATTGAGCGCTTGCTTCCGAATATGTGTGTGTGTGGGGGGGTAGTTGTTTTGGTGTCTCAGTCATAGCTCTTTGAAGTGGTGATGACACTGTGGAGAAAGTTGTAGCCTGCAGTGTCATCTTATAAAAGGGGAAGGAGGCGGTGCCCATCTGAGGGCAAACTGGGATTACGAGGGATGGAAGGCAGCTTAACAAAGTGCTCCAACAGGAAGGGTAGCAAAGTGGTGCCTTCTGCCCTGCCCCACTCTCAAAGTGTTAAAGACCAGGTGCTGTGTGTGGGAGAGGTTACTGATGTTGGTTTTAGCTTCTGACCTCAAGTTCTTTTCTGCGTTAAGATTCTACAAGTCTAGGATATGCATGTGTGTGTGTGTGTACACACAGGTGTAGGATACACGTGATGTTTGCCATAGATGCACAGCTACAGGAGCCCGCATGTGAAGCCTACCATCATCACCAATATCTGAGATGGACTTACGTCCATCTGCGTACAGTGGAACTCAGTTGGGGTCCCTGGGTCGCCTCCTTTTCCCCGGTGCAGCTCTCTGAGTTCTTGGCCCTAGCCAGAATCCAGCCTTCCTCAAATGACCATCACCTACACACACGTGGACACAGGCAGATTGCTTTGGTGGCCACTTCTCTCTTGGTCTCCCGGCTCTTGGATGACATGGAGAGTACAGGGATGTCTCCCTTGGAGACATTATCTGAACTCTGAAGTCCTCCGTGACCCTGTTTGCTACTTCTTCCACCCTGATGTTTTTGTTCTCCTTAACTTCCTGATGGGGAATGTAAGCGTTCAGACTTGAGCATGAATATAAATCATGATCAGGGCAAAATGGAAGGCATGGCAGTACAGGTTTCCCTTCTGATATGCAAAGGCACCAGTGGGGAAATCTGAAAGATCTGAACTGAGAGGCTGGTGTGTGTGTGTGTGTCTGTTTATGTCTTGATGGTTACACACCAGGAGCTGGTTGGCATGTAAGCCTTCCAGAAGGCTGAGGGAAGTGCGACTGTGTGACTCCCTTTCTATCAAGCAGTTTTCACATGGCCTCTTCTTCCACATAAGTCCTGCATGGTTCACTGTCTTAGACAGCCGTCCTCTCTGTACGTGCGCTTGGTCCCCAGCACCTTCTCTTGGTTCATTCATTTGTCCATCCAAAACAAAACAGAACACACCCTGTCCCTCCTCCATCACTTTCTATTGGGGAGTCTGGATTTGGGAGTCTGTCCCTGGCTCCATCCTCTCCCTTCCCCTGTTAATTACTCTTTGACTAATTAATTCCTTCCCAGTGTGTTCCACTCATTGGGTTCCCCTCGAATCCCTTTGCCCCTCCGTTTTGCAAAGGGGAGGAGTGGGAGGGAGGATGGAAGTACCAGGCAGAGAACAACATACACACAAAGCAAGTGCAGGGTGTTGGCTTCAGAATGGCAGAGGTGAGGGCAGCTGAGTGTGGGAGGCATGCTCCCACCTCCCCTGCCCCCCACTGCTTACAGTCCAAGGCTTCCTGTCTCCTGGTCTGCTTCCAGTCCTCGTAGCCTCACCTGTCTTGCAGTGCCACACCGGCTGGCACCCAGTACACTTCCCAGTCTTTTGTGTGAACGTGTGTATCGCCTGAGCCCATCCCTTGGCTCACTCATCTCAGACTCCCCCCTTCCTGCACGCAATTCTTTGCACACTCGCGCCTTACACAAGCCTTTCCCTCTCTGGTACACCTGCATCCTTTGACCACTCACCTTGCATCCTCCCGCTATACACACCCCCCACCCCCCCACCGCACCCCCATTCTCCTACCCGGGTACACACTCCCTTCCCTGGCCACTCCCCTCCCTCCACCCTCGCACCCCGCCCCCGCCCCTGGGGACACCTGCTCGCGCGGGGCAGGGCGGGGATGCGCAGCCGCGGCCCCTTCTTCTCCGCTCTCCCTCTCCGCCCCGCCCCTCCCTCCATCCTTCCCCGGCTCCCCGGCTCCCGCCCCGCCCGTCCGCCACTCCGGGGGGGTCTCCGCCGCCGCCGCCGCCGCCGCTGCCGCCGCCGCCGCCGGAAGGAGCCGCCATTTGCCACCGCCGAGCGCACGGGCCGAGGCGAGCCGGAGCCGGGAGCCGGAGAGGGACTGGGGCCGGGGGGAAGGCGATGGGGGGCGGCCCCGCCGCAGGACGACCCGGGCGGATAACCCCGGGGGCCCGGCCGGCTCCGGACCCGGACCCGCGGGGCGCGGCACTCTGAGCCCCCTCCCCTGCTCCCCGCCCCCTGCCCGGGCCATGGCAGCCCACCCCGCCGCCCCCGGGCCGCCAGCGCTCGCGGCCCCGCGAGCCCCCGAGCCGCGGCGGCGGCAGCAGTGAGAGGCGCTCGCAGGCCCGGCAGCCCCCGGCCCCGCTCGGCGCCCCGGCGCGCGCCCCCTTCCCGGCCGGCCTTGTCTTCTCCCCTCCCCCCGCCGCCCGAGAGCCCCTCTTGCTCGCCGCCCCCCGCCCCTTCCCGGCGCTCGGACGATGCTCAAGTCTCGGCTCCGCATGTTCCTGAACGAGCTGAAGCTGCTGGTGCTGACGGGCGGGGGGCGGCCCCGGGCCGAGCCGCAGCCCCGGGGGGGCGGGGGAGGCGGCTGCGGCTGGGCGCCCTTCGCCGGCTGCTCCACCCGGGACGGCGACGGCGACGAGGAGGAATACTACGGGTCGGAGCCGCGGGCCAGGGGCCTGGCCGGCGACAAGGAGCCGCGGGTCGGACCCCCGCCGCCGCCTGCGCCGCCGCCGCCGCCCCCAGGCGCACTGGACGCCCTGTCACTCAGCAGCAGCCTGGACAGCGGGCTCCGAACGCCCCAGTGCCGGATCTGCTTCCAGGGCCCGGAGCAGGTCAGGCCTGGGTTACCTGGCCGGGCTGGGAGAGGTGTGCGGTGTGGGGGGAGCATAGGGAGAAAAATGGGAGGGGGTGCGCATCTGGGGCGCTTTGGGGGGAGGAAAACGGCGATCAGGGGGCGGGGCCTGGGGAGGCCGGGCCCGGAGTCCGTGATGGGGAATGGGGTAAGGTTGGGATGGCTGACTAGAGATACCTGGGGGCGGATTTGAGGGCGGGGCGGGGCGGGGTGGGTAGGGTAGGAGCGAGCCCAGGGTCCCCAGCGAGGGGTGGGGTCTCCTGAGTGGGAACCACTTCACCCCAGGGTCACTGCCCGCTGAGGAGGCCTTTTTGGGAAGCTGGTGGGGAGAGGAGTGCATGCATCCCCACCTTGGAGGGAGGGGCAGGACCAGGCCAGCGTTTGTCCCTTCACTTCCCTTCTGCAACTTTCTGTCTCATTCCGAAGAGTGCTCTTTGTTAAATGCATGGGCAGAGCCATCCCGGGATGGCGCCAGAGGGGCGTCCGCATGCAATGAGAAATGGTCCCTTAGTACTAGAAGGGGGCACCTTTCACTCCCACCCACCCCATCTTGTTAACACGTGGAGGAGAACAGTGATTCCCCCTCCTCTCCCCCTCACCAGCCTGCATCTGACTTAGGCAATCAGTGGTGGGATGGGATGGAGGAGAGCAGGCCTGGCCCGTCTGTAACCTGAAGATCCCTAGGAAAAGCGTTTCCTTTAGGTAGCCCAAGAGACCCTTTCCCAACTTGTGGGGAAAGAGAGAGCTCTGCCCTTCCTTTCCCTGTAGCCCCCATCCCTTTCCGTGCTTCGCTTCTGGGGTATGCAAAGTTCCTCCTCGAACTGTAGCAACCTTAGCCCGTTGTCCTGCTTTGGGTGAAAGACCTGAGAGATTTCCAGGTGGCCCCAGACGAGGTTTCCCTCTCCCTGGGGAGCGGCCCGGGAGGCGCCAGCTGACAGGGCCCCCTCCGCACTTGTCCTCCAGGGGGAGCTCCTGAGCCCCTGCCGCTGCGACGGCTCTGTGCGCTGCACTCACCAGCCCTGCCTCATCCGCTGGATCAGCGAGAGGGGCTCCTGGAGCTGCGAACTGTGCTACTTCAAGTACCAGGTCCTGGCCATCAGCACCAAGAATCCCCTACAGGTGAGGAGTATGGCATGGCTCCTAGACCGCGCCCCTCAGCCATTGATACCAGGAACCTGTGGGTCTAAATGACTGCCCCAAGCCACCAGCCTCATTCAAAACTTCCTTTATTTATGCACAGGACATTTCTTGGGGCTGCTGCTTATAGTCTGTGTGCATTGGGGTTAACATAAAAGGAAATGATGATGGCAACAAGAGTGTAGTATTTTCTGTTTGTCTTGCTTTTGGGGGTCTTAATTCTTTTAATCTTAATAATCTCTTAGTTAGATACCATTTTGTAATTTTTTTTTTTTTAATTTGAAACACAGATCAACCTTTGATTTGGCCAGTCCCCTCCCCTCAAAATGCCTACAACAGCTTGGGGCAGGGCCAGCTCAAAGCCACAAGCTCGGCACTCAGTCTGGGTCTCCGGTGTGGGAAGCAGGGACCCAAGTGCTGAAGCCATTTCCTGATGTCCCCCAGGGTTTGCCTCAGCAGGAGGCTGGAAGGTGCAGCTGGGGCCAAACACACCCAGGCCGTCCGACAGGAGTCACTGAAAGGGACCACTGTGTTCCCAGGTCACCCATGGGGTCACTGATACTCGCAAAAGACTTAAAAACTCGCCCAAGATTAGTCAGTCAGCCAGGAGTGTTCTGGCTTTAGCGCACCTGCTTGAACCTGCCTGTCTCCAGGGCATACAGACAGGTGCTGTGAACACAAGTTCTGCGTTCCAGGCTTGCTGGGCGTACAGCCCTGCCTGCTGGGGTTAGGTGCCCCTGCCCAGGGTCCCTCACCCATCTCCTGGCCTGCCGTTTCTTGCTGTGACTTCCTGGAGCCTTTTCTCCCCCACAGTGGCAGGCTATCTCCCTGACGGTCATCGAGAAGGTCCAGATTGCGGCCATAGTGCTTGGCTCACTCTTCCTGGTCGCCAGCATCTCGTGGCTCATCTGGTCCTCACTCAGCCCCTCAGCCAAGTGGCAGCGGCAGGATCTGCTCTTCCAGATCTGTTACGGCATGTATGGCTTCATGGATGTCGTCTGCATAGGTGAGGACATCCCTGCCTCGCGTCTCCCTCTGAACCCCCACACGTCCCTTCCCTGCCCTTGCCCTCAGTGTTGCCACTGTGTTTTGGCTACTAGACACCCTTAGATTTGGCCTCGTGCCCCTATCCGCCTTCCATGTGTCTCCAGGGCCCTTTGGTGCTGCACCTCTTCCCCTTGCGGAGGTGCCGGCCGAAGCACCTGTGCTCTCATTGTGGGTGTGGCTGACCCCTGGATGTCTTCCCCTCCTGCTCAGGCCTCATCGTCCATGAGGGCTCCTCTGTTTACCGCATATTCAAGCGCTGGCAGGCAGTGAACCAACAGTGGAAGGTCCTGAACTATGACAAGACCAAGGACACAGGAGGGGATGCAGGGGGAGGCACGGCAGGGAAGCCGGGCCCCAGGACCTCACGGACGGGACCCCCTTCTGGGGCCACCAGCCGTCCCCCGGCCGCCCAGCGCATGCGGACGCTCTTGCCTCAGCGCTGTGGTTACACCATCCTGCACCTCCTTGGACAGCTGCGGCCACCAGATGCGCGTTCCAGCTCCCATTCTGGCCGAGAGGTTGTCATGAGGGTCACCACGGTCTGAAGCGGACTCCAGGAGCGGGAAGATTGAGTCAATGCATTGGCCAGAGCTGACCTCTCCTGGCTGCTGGAGATGCCAGTCGGACAAGGTGTTAGGGGTACACTGCCCCCTGCCCCCACCATCGAGGATCCCTGCGGGCAGCCTCAAGCTGGAGACATTGGCCGCTGGCCAGAGACACCTGAATGCCATTCCAGCCCCCACCGACAGCTCCTCCCACCCATTGTGAAATGGCCAGCCGGCAGGCGGGGCAAGCAGCTTTGCTTCCCTGAAGAGAACCATCTTTACCTCAGCTCCTGGGGCTGCCAGCCCCCACTGCCCCACCACAGCTCCACCACAGAGACTTGGTAAAGGGCAACCAATGCCAGAAGAAAGGGGCTGTAGGCCTCCATCCCCACACATGGCCACAGGGCATCTGGCAATAAGACTAGTATACATTGACCTCCCGTTCCCTGCATGAGGGCGGGGGACCTGTCCCTGCCCCACCCCCCCATTGCATGGGGGAAGGGCATAAAGAATCATTTATATGCACATGAAGACTCCTTTCTCATCTGGGGCTCTTCTGGAGGGCAGGGAGGCATGGGAAACTTTTTCCACACAGACTGCCAATCCCAAACACAGCAGTGGGCTCTGAGTTAGCGGTGTGTCTCCCACTTGCTGTTGAATAATTCATATTGGCTGCTAGCTGGCAGGTGACGGCTCATAGGCATCTCAGGGGCACACCTGCCACCTGCAAGTGGTATGATGTAGACAAGCCTCACAGCTCCGGCTTGCCTGTCTACCTTGTACCATTGGAATGAGGATAAATGAGGGACAGGCTAGACAGCCCTGCAAGGAAAATCCATAATGGCACAAAAAGACTTCCAGCCTATAGATGGTCCATTGATTCCAAAGAGTAGTCAGGATAGCAAATTCTGAAATGTGTTTCTTATCTTGAATTGCCTAGAACCTTGGAATTCTGTGTTGAGTGACATGATAGACTTGGGAAAATGAGGGGAAGCAGACACTGCAAGTGTGGGAGATGGTGGTTAACCCTAAGAATGAGAACTTCTTGAACCTCCTAAATCCTGGGGTCTTGGGGAGAGCTGGAGCCAGCCATCTCGTTCTGGAGATGGTCTGGATCCCTATTAATCCTATCCAAGTACAGTGCTCCCCTCAGGAAAGTGGTGTGAAGTGAATTTGGACTCATTTGAAGTGAGATAGAGGGAGAATGAGTCTCTGTACCCAATTTCAGCTCTTTCTATTGCCGTTCAGGGTCATGGGTTTGATCCCAGTGCGCCCAGCTGGTGGTATTAAGTGGGAAGTATTGTGCTTGGAGGCAGCAGCTTAAAGAGCTGTTGCTTGTAGAGAGAAGACTTGGAAGGGACTGGATGAAATGTGGGTCAACCTGAAGCTTGGTCCCTTTCTCTTGAGGTCTTTGGGCTGTGAATAATATGAATGATGCTGTTTTAAGTGAACTATTCATCAGCAATTAAAATAATTCTTTCATAAGTGGTTAAAGTCACATCCAGAGACCTTACTTATTATTGGTCCTTCTCTCGAGGAAGGTCCTATGTTGCCTCCTCCCTGGGGATATATTGGAGAAGATGATTCCCTCAGGATTATATATGTTGCCTTGGACACGTGCATTCCATGTTCAGCCAGGAATGAGGGGTCCTTGGCTGCTGTCCTTGGTGCTGGCACCTAGATTTGCTTGGAGGTGTAGGAGTAAAAGCTTGGTGAGGGGTTCTGAATCACCTTGAAGTGTGGAAGCACTATCACTTCTGACTTCTCAGGAGGGTCAGGATAGAGAAGGTTTAAATTGAACCCCCCAACTCCAGGTGTGAACTGTCTTCCAAAGAGACACGCCTTTATGCCCCCACCTGGGAAGACAACCATTCTTTACTGATCATTCCTATCAAAGAAGAGCTGGTGGTGACCAGATGAGAGACAGGAAATTAGAGTGGTTGCTTACCCCTCTGCGATCAGGTGGGGCTCAGCTACATATGACCTATGTGGGGGTTTTGGAGTCAAGCCTGGGCTGCCTCTTGCATGGCTTCATGTGCAAGCTTAGACATACCTAAGACCACTCATATGGTTCTGTGCCCTAAAATCTGACCTTGTGAGATCATCCCTTCCCCTCTCCATCAGCTGTAGCCCCCAGTAGAGGTCTGGGATAGGGGTTAGGGCCAGCAATGTGTATGGTCTCCTGTCCTTTTTCTAATTTAGATGTTTCTTTTTCCTGGGGCCATAAGCAGCAGTGCTTTCTAATAGGGACTGTGAGGTAGGTAGAAGTCTCATGACCGATTCCAGGAGACAGGGTCTGACCATGAGCTGACATTGTGTTTCCTCGTAACTCAGGTCATTTAGGTTCAAGTTGAGCTTGGTGATAGGGGAGGAGGCATGGAGAGTGAGCATACAGTGGAAAATAAGTTGAGAAGTGAGGTAGTAAATACAAAGAAACTTGGGTCTCTCCTCCAGGCCTTGGGCATGCTCTACCTCTCAGTGGATCTTATGCAATTCCATCCATCTTCAGAGGGCTGGCAGCCAATGGAGTTTCTGTGGCCAAAAAGCCTTGTCGAAGGCAGCCAGGTGGCAGAGGTGGTATGGAGAAGGAAGTGTGAAGTGAGAGCTCCATCTACACCCAGTTAATTATGGAGGTGGGGGAGGGCACAGGGAGTGGAGACAAGTTCTGACTGGGAGAAGGTAACCTGGGGTGCACAAGGAGCTGTGCAGAGGGTGCTGATAGATTTATTTTGATGGAGTATGAGTTAATCTGTATCCATCACAAGGGGAGAACTGTGGCCAGCCTCATGGGGGTGCACAGAGTGCTGATTCAAGAAAACAGACACTCCCTCTGCCCACTCCTCTTCCTGCCTTGCTGCCCTAGGGCTTCTGGCCACCCACATACTTAGTTTTCATCCCCTGCCTCTGACTCCCTGTGTCTCCCTGGCTCCGGTCTTTCTGTGAGAGCCCCTGCATTTACTTTTCACCACCACCCCCTTACTGTTACAGGAAGCCAGGCTGGATTTGGCTGTTCCCGCTGCAGACAGAAGCAAGTCTGGGTTTCTGTGGAAAGCCACTTTTGTAGGTATTTAGACCTCCCATTGCTTTTTGGGGGGGCGGGGGTCACTCCCGTGACCTGGGAAACAAACATCCAGTTGGTGGGTCTAGGTCTTCTTGCCTCTGGATCTTATGTAAGGAGTGAACCAAAAGCCAGAGGTCAGCCATAAGTTAAGATCTGATTTTTTTTTTAATCCAAAAACTTACAAATATATTTAACACTTTCTATATATATATATATAAAGGCTGAGGCCTGAGGGTGCCGATTCACCTCTCTGAGGAAAATGAAGAAGGAAATGGGCAGGCAGAGCATGGTATGCTGCTTCTTATTCTGCTATATGGTCCAGATTCCATGTGACATAGGATGGGCTGTCACCTGGTCAGACACAGGCCCTAGCATGGGATATAAAGGTCAAGCAAGACCTCATCCTTCCTCTCTCAAAGAAGGAGGACCATGCAGGTGCAGGCCAGATGGACCACAGTAAATGCTTAGCCATGAACATGGTGCAAGCATAGAACAGGGGCTGATTCTGCCCCTAGCACTTTTTAGTAAAATCTGAGCTGAACCTTGAAGGATCCCTTTATGACCAGGAGAAAGGCCCAGGAGGCAGAGGAAGGAACCATGGTTTTACTCCAGACCTACTAAGCCAGGTCATGTGCTTGCTTCACTGGCCCTGGCTGCCCCAAGCCTTTGCTGGGCCATTCTATCTAATCAGATAGACAAGCCTCAGGGGCAGATGTGCATCTCAGTCTAGGGCCTCACACACCCCGGTGGGAAGAGAACCAATGCTGAGGACAGCTTCCTTCCACAGCTCTATCTGTCCACAAATTGTAGGTTTATTCTCCTCTCAGGTACCAGCACAGTCCGGGTCATGGGTCTGATTGGAGCAGCTCCTGGCTCAGGCCGTATCTCAAAATGTGTCAAGATCTGGAAAGGCAGGAAGGCAGCTGTCACTGTGGCAGGGGTCCGTGATGGCAGGATTGGTTGGTAAAAGGGTAGGATTAAGCTTAGAATGGCCACTGTTGGGTAGGAACCTGTGGCCAGAAGGGGCTCCTTGGTGAACAAATGATCATCTCTAATGTTGCTTACACTTCAGGCTGCTGATGGCATGACCATGTTTCCCAGAATTCCGTACACCAGGTCTTGTGTGTTTTCCTAGGCTTATCAGGGGACAGGAGCCTACAGCCTTAGCCGGCTAGAGCTTCCCCAGGTCCCAGAAGGAGGAGGCCTGGATCACTCACCTGGGCCAAAGCCATTTGTAGCTGAAGTTCAGCTAGGCGTCTTCCCATGCAGCTGCGCTTGCCAAAGCCAAAGGGAAGAGAAGCAAATGGGTGGGGGGCTGGCCCCTCCCCCAGCCAGCGAGCTGGACGGAAAGCATTTGGCTCTGGGAACTGGGCAGGGTCCCGTGAAGTGGCATAGTGACACAGAGTGACCAATGTCTGGTGGGGGAAGGAACACAGACTTGTCAGTTTGGGCCCAGGGATTGGGGGAGGGCAAGGCAAAGAGTATCTTGGGGACAGCATATGGGGAGGTCCTGTTGATATGATGGGGAGGTTTTCTGGGGCTCCTTTTGGAATGAGAGACTCATTAGGGTGAATGGGAGGGCTTGAAGGGGCTTACGAGGAAGGTGGTGTGAAGATGGGAAGGGGCCCCAGGTGCTAATGAGGCATGTCTCAGTCACAGCGGCTGCTAGGGAGCACTCACATTTTTGGGAATGATGTAGTCACCCACATGGACATCTTTGTCTGGAACACGTGCATTTCCAGGTACCACTGGGTACAGTCTGAGTTGCAAAGCAAAAGATGGAGACAGAATGGTGAGGCTGCAGTTGTTGCCTTGCTCTCAGCAGCTACAACCTCCAAACCGATTTTTGGGCAGGAAAAGAGAGGGAAAAGAAGAAGGAGGAGGAGGAGGAGGAAGAAGAAGAAGAAAGAAAGAGGCGGAGGAGGAGAAGAAGGTGATAAGAACGACACCAATAAATTATTCCCTTCTATCTGTGCATCTATCCACTGGCTCTTTTCTCAGCACTGTCTCCAGTTCTTCCTCTCCCCCCTACCCCCCACCTCACCTCAGAACTTCCTTGACCACAGCCTTCAGCAGGGGCAGTTGAGACAGAGCATTGGCTGGCAGGCGGGGATAGGCTCCAGGGCCCACGGCAGCTGTGATCTCAGAGTGCAGTGCCATCTGGACTTCAGGGTGCCGAGAGAGCTCATACAGGGCCCAGGAGAGTGTGTTGGACACCTGAGAGCACCGGTGGGGGCATCCAGGGTATTAGGTATGAGGATACAGATTAGGCTACCTGGCAGCATGGGGGCAAGGGTGCTAAGCCGAGCTGCATTAGTGGCCATAGTGGACCGCCTGCTGCAGAAAGGCACCCTCCTCTCCGCCGCCCATTGCAGAGGCTAAGCTCTGGCAGTGGGGTTCGCGGCATGGAGGGAAGCCCTCACCGTATCCACACCAGCCAGAAGCAGCTCTGTCACGTTCCCCAGGATGGACTGGGCAGGCATCTTTTCCCGGAGCAAGAAGTAGGTCAGGTGCGCCCCGGTTCCCGCATCCTCAGGCTTTTCCTGGTTTCCTGTGGCAGCTTCAGCTTCTCGCTGCTCCACGTGTTGCTGGGCTGCGTGAAGGCCAAGGCGCGCTGATGCAGTGTTGCCGCTGGACAACTGTCTGTACTGCTTCACCCCCAGCCCCTACGCTTCACCCCCAGCCCCTACTTCCATCTCGGTTCTTGACCTTACCGAAGGCAAACATCTGGTCCCAGTCTCTGCAGAGGCGGCCCCATGGCCCGGGCACCAGATGGTGCAGCCATTTGGGCATCGCCATGGTCAGTAGCGTGGACACAAACACGGATCCCACAGCACGGATGAAGATTTCGGTGTCCGGCGGCACTTGGGCCTCCAGGCAACCCAGGCGCGAACCCAGCAGCACCGCAGCTATACCTGGCGGGGAAGGGGACGCTGTTAGGGCATCAGGAGACCCAGCTGTGCGCCGCCTGGGACAACTACCCCAGACTCACTTTCAAGCCCAAACTTGTAAAACTCTCCCGTCACATCCCGAACCAGGGCGGGCGGTCCGGTGCCGCCTCCGCGCTGGCGCCGCAGTAACCGCACCAGGTCACGGACAACGTTGTCCAGGGTCCCGGCGTAGCCCGCAGCCGCCTGGGGCCGGAGGAGGAGCGGGGCCAGGAAGCTGCGGAGCCTCTGCCACTCTTCGCCTTCTCTGTGGGGGTGTAGAGAGAGGGCGCGTCAGGACGGCGGGAGCTGTGCCCGAGGCTCGACGGGGCAGGCGGCGGGGGAGAAGGAGCGCGTTTGGCAAGGGTGGCACAAGTGTTCCGTCTGTGCCCTTCGGGTACGCAAACCCGCCCCTGCCTGTGTCTGTCTTCCTTCTCCCTTCACTCGTTTCCGATCTCTGAAGGGCCCGGGTACGCTGGTGACTTCAATCTTAGAATCTCAGCCTTCCGTGCAAGCTCTAGCAGCCAAGCCCACGCCGCGCTTTCCCCACGTTCCGGGACTCCGGCCTCAAAGGATCGGACAGCGGGCTGAGAGCCGGGCTTAACTTGGTGGGGGAGAGGGATTTGGTAGAAAACAGGCTGGGGTGGGAACCTTAAGTGCCCTCAGGGGTGGGAGAAACCACTAAGCAGGGACGTTGTAGGTGTAGGCGGCTGCGCGACGCCAGGGTGTTGGGAACTCACGCTGTCAGCAGTCCGCAAGCCCGCTGGTGGAGGCGCCGGTGCTCAGCCCACGGTGAGAAACTGCAGCGCTCAGGCCGAGGTCCCTCCTGCCGCAGCAGCTGTTCCACGAGCGCAGGGTGGGCCACATACACGGTGCGCACCGTCCCGAAGCTGCCCAACCACATTGACCCAAAGCGCGCGGCGCCCTGCACCTGGAGTGGTACAAGCGCATGGACACTTGGAGACCCCTTGGCGGGACGGTGGTGAGGAGCTCTTTTTCCTGCGGACCCCCAGCTGGTTCTGTTGGCCCTGATGCTGCAAATTCCTCCTCTTTCTCTATCCCTGGGAAGTTTGAGCGTGATGGGCAAATTGAGAACTACTGAATGCAGACATTTAAAGTCTCTCTGTGTCCCGTAGGGTGCAAATGAAGGGGAGACTCCTAAAGGCTCCCCACCTGGGCGGTGCCTCCCTAATGATTGCAAAGGAGTGCGTGTAGCCTTAAGTCCGCCGCTTGGTGACTGCCCCTTGTTACTCCAAGACCTATACAGGGTCTCCAAAGCTGTGCTCTAAAGAAGGTGCTTTTGACACACCTGGCTTCCTTGGCGGACCCCGCGCAGCCAGGTGTGTGCTGCCTCCAGTCCTGGCTTGCCTTTTCCATAATCTAGATGTATCTGTTCTCCCTTCCCATGTCCTGCCTAGTATCAGCAAACATTGGTGCTCAGCCCCTCCTAACCTACCTGCAGCTCGTGCAGCCGTGACAGCCCCCCCTTGCAGAAAAGTTCGGCCAGAAAGCTGAGCATGGAGGGGCCTGGGAGCTCCGTCAAGGTCTTTGGTGCTGAGCCTGGGCCTCGGGAGTTGAGGGGGGTGCCCAGCTCAGGAGCCCAGCAGACTCCATGTAGCAGTCTGGAGGTGAGCTTGAGGGCCCGGGTCATGGTGATTCAGGAAGCCCACGAGAGGGAGAGAGCAGGTCTCAGAAGCATCCTGTTTGCCTGAACCCCTATTTAACCCCTGGGCAGGGCCCTGTTGACGCCCCCTCTCTGATCTTCTCAGCCAATCCCTTCTCCTGAGCAGTTGGTGCTAGGGGATCAGTACCCCGGAACAGGAGGCGGAGCTGCGACCGACTGGCTCATGTGGGGTCTAGTTCCTCACGGGATGGGAGTCCCATCTTAGCTTTAGCAGCCAGGCTGGGGCCAAAGTACCAGGCTTGAAGCCTCCTTCCTATTTAAAGGCATTGCAGGTGACTGAACCCTACATGCTGGCTTTGTGGTATTCACCCTGGGCAGGGGGTATGGATGTGGACTGGCAGCCCAGCCCCTCCCTGTAGCCTCTTTGGGAAGGGAAGCAGAGAGGAGGCTCAGTTGTTCCTGTACCCACTTGGGTCTTTGGGCTTCTCTGTATGGGAGTGGCGCTGGCGCCCCCTGCCGCTGGGCCTTGTATGGATGACACAGCAGGCGGCCTAACAGGTTAATGTAGCTTACAGACACCTTCGTTTTTATTTCTTGGGGAGCAGGTGTCTCTAGGGTCAACAGGCTCCTTCTTCCAGCCCTGAGAACTTGGGGCTTGAAGAGTAGGAAAAATAAAGGCACAGTTTTTGCATGTTAGAAAAGTCCGACAATTCCCTGGGGCTGCTGGGTGGAGTGAGGGTCTAGTGCTCAGTGAGGAGGTCCTCTATGGGCCAGGGGGACACATTCTGGCCAGCAGTCCCTTCCCACCCTCAGCCATGGAGGCCTCCACAGTTTAGCTCAGTTTGTTTCCTCATCCTCCCTCCCCCCACGAGGCTCTGTCTGTCAGCTTTGAAGTTTCGGAATCTGTGGAATCCATGGCCAGTACAAAGGGAGGGATTCCATCCCCACTCCCCCCGCCCCCCTCACTGGGACAGATCCCTCAGGCTGTGTCTTGGCCAGGGCCAGGGCAAGGCACATGATGTGTACTCCCATCTCTCCTGCGGGACAGCAGCTGGGACATGTGAACACCCGCATGTTGTCCCCAGGACTGCAAAGCAAACACGAGCGGGCAAGTGGTTTGTGCCTAGCAGGCAGTTTAGAAAATGGAATGACGCATCCCACAGGGGAAGGGTGTGCTAAAGGACAGCAAGACCCCATGCCTCAGGCACCCCCACCCCATGGGCCCTCTGGGTCCAAGGTCCTCCAACTTTCCCGTTGAGCTTCTTCCACTTTCTGCTGGCTGTGAAGAGACTAGGAGGTGAGAGGAGCTGGGGTGGCTGTAAACAGAGGGTTCTGTCCGGGGCTGCCCCTAACTTCTTGGTGGGAGGTTGCTGTTTCTTGCAGGCCCCGCTGGGGAGGCCCAGGGGGCCTGAGTGTCCTCCCAGCGCCTGGAAGATGTGACTCAGCACAGGATAAGCAGTCAGTGACCAGCAAGGCTGGGATTGGGGTCCTCAGCCAGGAGGGTGGGGTCCTGTACTCTCCGGAAGATGGCCGGGAAGTTCTTTCCTCCATTGCGTAGAACTTTCTTGCCCTCTTCAGTGGAGGTGCCTAGATGTCCCACGATGGGGTCTTCACTCTGCAGTAAAGAAGGGACCAGGGAGTAAGAACCGTCCTCAGCTTCCTGGGTCCAAGCTGGATGCCAAACCACTCCAGGAAGAGCCTTCTCCCGTAGCTTCAACTTACCAGCTCCTCCAGGGGCACACGCTCGAACAAGGGGTGTCCTTCAAAGTGGGTGCACATCCACTGGTGCAGCTCCTGCACGTCGGTTATGGTATATACCAGTCCCTGTGTAAGGCCAAAGTCGTCTTAGATGGCTGGCTGGCTGCAGGCAGCCCAGGGACGGGGTGTGTGTGTGTGTGTGTGTGTGTGTGTGTGTGTGTCAGTGCTGGCTCTTGCCCACATCCTCCCGCCAATGACTTCCCAGCCTCCCCAGACGCACCCCGACTCTCAGCACGTAGGCATACTCTGCCAGCAGCGTGGGGCTGATGATTCGCCACTTGTGCTTGGTGCGTTTGAAATGTGGGTCAGGGAAGAGGAAGAACATCTTGGTCAGCTGTGAGATGAGACACGCGTCCATGGTGCTGTGAGACCTGGGCCTCGGGCACTGCCTGCCCACACCCTGCCTCACCGTCCCCCAAACAACAGGGACCCCTCCACACCTGGCCCTTGTGGAAGAAGTTAGGAAGGTGCTTCATGGCGTTGCTGCGCAGACAGGCGATGTTCTGGAAACCGCCTCCGGGGGCCGCACGCAGGGCGCGGATCCGGTCCTGGACGTAGTCAGAGACCTTGACCCGGATCTCCAGACCCAGAATCAGAGTGTCTGGGAACAGCGGGGACAGTTCCACTGCACATGGAAACAGCAAAGGGCTCAGCATGGCAGCAAGTGCACGCTGGGCAGGTATGTGTGTGTGTGCGTGCTTGTCAGCTTGCAGAAGGAAGCCCTGGTGGGTGTGCTGGGGAAGCCGACAATGGCAAGCAGGGACTGAGACAGCACTATGGGCTGGGGCAGATGGGCCAGGTATGACTGAGACTAGAATCAGAGGGTTGGGGGTCCGTGTGCAAGATGTTTGCAGCTGCTTCAGCAGTTTCACACACCATCTCAGTTAATCCTCGTGACACTCTGTGATAAATTAGGAAGATGAGAAAACCAAGAGCCGGGAAAGCCCAAGGTCATGGTGCTGAGACAAAGGGTAGAGCAGGAACTTGAAAATTTCTGCTACCACACCCCATGTTCTTCCTCTCTGCTGGGCTGGTATTTCTATGGGAAGAGCTAATAAATATATAGGAGCGCTTTGGTACGCAATGCTGGGACAACGTGGACAAACATTGAGGGTCCCAACCCAGCAGTGGAGGAATGAGTTCTCTATGTGGATTCCCTAGGGCAGTTCAGGATCACGGCCACACAAATGGCAGAGGATCCCAACCATGGCAGCGCAGGAATGAGCTCTACTGTGTGTGGAATCCCTAAGACAGTTCGGGATCACTGGACACGGCCAATCTCTGACGCCGTGTTGGTCCGCTCAGTGACCCGGCACCTGACACGTGAAAAGCATCACACAGCGACTGCAGCCCACCAGGGCAGCCTGGAGTTCTTCCAGGCATCTGAGGCAGCTCCCCACCCCTACCTGCAGGGCAAAGGCCACAGGCCCAGAGTGGAGGGGAGGTGGGGTGCCCAATGCTGATGTCACCAGTGTCTGGTCCGAAGGGGAAAGGCCACCCACCCACCTTCCCCAAACCTGCTGAGGTGGCAGAAGCTGGATCTCAGCTGGGCCCGGGGCATGCGTTACCTAACAGGCCACCGTAGCCACAGCCTATGTCCGCAAACTCCACCTGGGCCTGAGGTCTCTGGTTCTTCTCCTCCTTGGGGTCGTCGTGGTTCTGACTTTGAGTGAGGGGGGCGAAGAACTGCGGGTACAACTCGGACCAGTCCATCTCCTCTGGCTTCACGGGGCTGTGGGAAGGACCACAAGGAGGAGGTGGGAAGGCTGTGTGTGTGTGTGTGTGTGTGTGTGTGTGTGTGCGTGTGTGTAGGGCTTCTCCCATGTTCTGTAATAGCAGGTGCCAAGGCCTCCGGGCACAGTCCCCTCAGCTCCCATGGGTGAGTCAGGACCGCATCATGAAGCCCGTGACTGGAGGCACCCCACTTCTGCGGGGCGATGTGGTCCTGATAGCACCCTTTCCTGGGGGGCACAGGCCGACTTCCTACAGCACCAGAGGGTCTTCCTTTGTGTGTGGGCAGGGGGGCAGGGACGGAGTAAGCTGTGTGCAGACAGCAAGGCGCAGATGTCTCACTTGTTATCCAATGCTGCAAACAAAACCCTCAGAAGAGTGGTGTGAAGTGAATTTGGACTCTAGTTTCAGTTAGTTTTTTGCCCAGGCGTCGCCGCACGCACACCAGCCAGGACTCTACGCCCCGTCCGGCCCTCGGGCTCCGCCCGCTGTCAAAGCCGCCGGACCCGCCCCGGACCGACGCCACCGGCCCCCTCCCGCTCGCTCACTAGCGCAGCGTGTGGTCCGCCATGGGGTTGGAGTGCGCTCGCTGCCGATAGTAGCGCTTCTGGGGCTGCGACGCCTCGGCTCCCGCCGCCTTCCCACTCTCGGCCGCGGCCATGACGCCCAACCCCGGGTTCCTCCAGCGAATCCACGTGGAGACAGAGGCCCGAGGCGCAAGGTGATGACGCGTCGTGCACGCTACGAGAAGACTCCGCCACTTAAAGACATACGAGCACCTTGCGCAGTGTTGGGAGGGGAGGACGGTCTTCAGGGGCTAGGGAGGGAGGGTGCCAACGTACCCTTGGCCTCTAACTCAGCTGATGGGGTCCGGGCTGGGCGTCCTGCCCTTTGCCCTTTCCCGTAGCTTGCTAAGCCCTGGCCTGGTTGCCCTACCATCCCTACTTGCAGGGATGCTCAGGTGTGCCCAGGTGAGAGGCGTCAGGAGTCCCGTCTGCCTCCCTGTCTCCTTGTCACCCTTCGTTTCTTCCACTCCCATCGCTCCCCTGCATTCGGGCCAGGTGGCGGGGTGTGACTCGCGTGGGGCCCGTCGGGGATGTGCGAGGCTCCCTGCCCACCTCTAGGAAGTCCCGCCGGAGGAGGGGGTGGCGGGCACAGCCCCGCGGAGGCGGGGCCCGGGAACCTCGGGGCCGCCGAGTCGGCGTCTGCTCGCGCTCCTCTCCCGATGGCCGTCCCCGGTCCGGACCCCGAGTCGGAGCCGGAGTCGGTGTTCCCTCGGGAGCTCGGCCTCTTCGCCGACTCGTACCCGGAGAGAAGCCGCTTCTGCTTCTGCGGGCACGCGCTGAGCATCACGCAGAACTTCGGGTCCAGCCTCGGGGTGGCTGCGCGCGTGTGGGACGCGGTGAGGAGCCAGCGGGGATCCCCCTCCCCCGCCATCCCAGCTGTCGCCCTCCCCACGACAGCCCTGTCCCCTGGGTGTCTCTGTTTTTCTTGTAGGCTCTGAGCCTGTGCAACTATTTCGAGAAGCAAAATGTTGATTTCCGAGGCAAGAAGGTGATCGAGCTGGGCGCGGGGACGGGCCTCGTGGGCATCTTGGCAGCGCTACAGGGTGCGTGGGCCACCCGCGGGGTGGGGGACGGGGCCGCGGCCGCCCAAGAGTTGCCACGTCGGCGTCCGGTGTGGGGGAGGCGGGGATTGCCCCGGACCCAGCCCAGCCCCTGGGGCCAACCCTGACTGGATACCTGCGTAGGTGTGCCAGATGGCTGGGGAGTCTGCTCCTAGGGGGTTGCAATAGGGGGCTGTGGCTGAGGGGGGAGGTGACAAAAAGAGCTCAAAACCAGGCGGGCTTGTTGGAGGGGGTGGGTTCATGGAGAATGAGCGCCCAGGAACCCTTGGCTGTGGATGTGGTGGTATGCTGGTCCTGCGGTTTAGTTCTGTTAGGCTTTCTTCCTTCTTGCTAGGAGCATGGGGCTGTTGTGTTTCTGAGGGCTAGGAGGGTGTTTTCTGGGAAGCGGGGATAAAGATAGGAAGCACGCATTAAGGAACGTACCCTTGCTTCCGTCTGATTAAGACCCCAACCCTATAATCAAACCTGTCCTTCACTTCTCACTCTGTCTGGAAAGCCCGCCCTGCCTTTTTCCCAAGATCACACCCTGGGACTGCAGGTCCGCACTGTTCTGCATCCCAGGAGGGTTGTCTGCTTGGAGGTAGGGATCTGCATTTCTGTGCCGACCGCCTCTGCTCTATGCCGCCTTGCCGCTGTGCCGCAAATCCTGCCAGGTGTAGGGGCTCAGCAGTGAGCCTCAGCAAAGAGGCAGCAGACACACGCCTTCTTGCCCAGGAGGTGCTGAGACAGTGGGGGAGCACACCCTGGTGTTGCCTGTCCTGGGAAGCACCCTCGGCCCGTGCTCTCCCTGGTTGGCCTGAGCAGCTCCATAGCCACCAGCTTTCTCCCCAGCGGTGGGTGGATGGAGGCAGGTGGGCAGGTCCTCCACGGCTGCCCCCCATTCAGCTGCTGAGTCAGAGAGCTGGGTGACATCTCATTCCCTGTCCCTCTCCCTCCGGCTTTTTTTTTTTTTGTACCCCAAGTGTGGCACCCTGTAGACTCTCCAAGTTCTGTACTCCCCCTCCCAGCATTTCCAGTTGGGGTCACTGTCCTCTCTTGCTTAAGATTTTCCCAAGAGCCTGTTGCAGCTTACCCATGGGGACTTTTTGGGGTGTCCAATATAGATATCTCCATCTTCCTGTACCCCCAAACCTACTTCTTCCTCAGGCTTTCCCATCTTGGTGAGTCAAATTACTGTTCCCCCAACCTCTCGTGGGCAGCCACATGTCAGCTTTGATGTGGCTCCGTGTGCGTTGTGACATTTTTCAAGTCCTGTTGATTTGTCTGCTGAAAGCTTCTTCAGCCACAGGCCCTAGCACCCCTGGCCCTTGCTGTGTGCTGTGAGGCCAGCCTGCCCCTGCCTGCCCGTCCCTCCCCTGCCTGCCCACCCCCGCCTGCCTGTCCCTGCCCCTACCCCTGCCCATGCAGCAGAGTAATATTTTTTCTAAATGTGTTCACAACCTATCCCCAATCGAGCTCCAAGACCCTGCTGTCCTCCCCAGCCTCTCTGTGCCTTCCCCACCTGCCTGCCCCATGCCAGCTCCTCAAACTGCCCTTGCTGTACTGTGCTTGGGATGAGGGGTCCATACAGGCTGTTTACCACCCGATTAGCACATGTACACCTTCCATTGCTCAGTGCAAACACTGCTCCTCCAAGGCAGGACTCAGCCCCCCACCCTCGAGTTGGCTTGAGAGTGCCCGATACACGCACAGCCAGGTTGACACCATGCCTGGGGTTCTAGTGCAGCAGGTTAAGCTGTCACCTGTTGCCTGTCCTGGGAAGCACCCTCGGCCCGTGCTCATAGAGCAGGTTAAGCTGTCACCGTGTAAGCATAGGTTTGAGTCCTGGCTATTCCGTTTCCGATCCAGCTCCCTCCCAATAAGCTTGGGAAAGTGGAAGATAGTCCAAAACCCGTGGTCCTGCAACCCACATGGGAGACCTGGATGGGAGTCCAGGCTCGTGGCTTTGGCTGGGTCATTGTAGCCATTGCAGTGGGAGGGGGAACCTGAGGATAGATGATTTCCCCCACCCTTCTCTCTGTAACTCTGCTTTTCAAGTATATAAGTACATCTTTTTTAAACATTAAAGTTTGCCATCTGTGTCCGCGTGCACCATGCTCTCCTGTCACACCACCTGTGCACTCAGCATGCTAGCTTAGGACGAACCCTGTGCTTACCACAAGGTTCCAGCCTTCCCCTCCTCCTCTCCCACCCCTTTCCTCATCTCCCTCCCCCTCCCCATCTCTCCATCTCCTTCCCTCCCTCACCCCTTTCCCCATCTCCCTCCCTGCTGTTCCTGCCGCCCATCCGCCATGTCTCTGGCCTTATCCGTTTTTTCCTTCTCTCTGGGCCATTCCACATTAAGTGTATGTACAGAATAGAACTTTTTTTTTTTAAAGATTTATTTTTATTATTTTTTTATTGGAAAGGCAGATTTACGAGCTTCTTCCAGGTCTCCCAGGTGGGTATAGGGTCTGAAGGCTTCGGGCCACCCTCTGCTGTCCTCCCAGGCCACAAGCAGGGAGCTGGATGGGAAGTGGAGGGGCACTGCACTTGGGATTTCTGCCTATGTCACCAGCTCTCCATTTCTTTCCTTTTTTTTTTTTAAAGATTTATTTTTATTATTTTTTATTGGAAAGGCGGATATACAGAGAGGAGAGACAGAGAGGAAGATCTTCCGTCCGATGATTCACTCCCCAAGTGAGCGCAACGGGCCGATACTATGCCGATCCGAAGCCAGGAGCCTCTTCCGGGTCTCCCACGTGGGCGCAGGGTCCCAAAGCTTTGGGTGGTCCTCGACTGCTTTCCCAGGCCACAAGCAGGGAGCTGGATGGGAAGAGGAGCTGCTGGGATTAGAACTGGCGCCCATATAGGATCCTGGTGCTTTCAAGACGAGGACTTTAGCCACTAGGCCACTGTGCTGGGCCCCCACCCCAATTTAAAATGGCATTCCCTGCCCTGTCTCCCATGGGCTCCTGTCCCTTTTTCCGTGCTGGCTGCTCATGACCGTTGGACACAAGGCGTGTTTCATTTTACTTATTTTGTTTGCCACGTTGTGCCTTCCTTGCCACCAGGCTGGGGAGGAGAATTCTCTGCTTGGTTCATTGCTGAGCTCTCGATACCTGGGGCTCAGTGTATGAGAGAAATCAGAATGAAGGCCTCTTACTACCTCACTTATGACCTTGACTGCATGGTGACTTTTGCAGAACCTCAGGATCGCACCTCAAGGAAGGCTCAGGTTTCTCCTGTTCACTTCTGTCTCCAGAATGTTCCAGGTGCTCTGTAGATTCGTGGCTGGCATGGCTGGAGCTTTCTGGAATGCTCCTCTGATCTTCTGCTTCCCTGCTTTGCTTCTCCCTTTCAAGCCTGTGGTCCTCAGGCTCCAGCCAGACCTCCCGAGCATGTCGTGGTCATGTTCCTCAGGTCCTGCACCTTGCGCCCTCCTCCTCATCCCCCCACCCCCTGCTTGTGGCTAAAATCCAGCCTTCCTTGACTACGCCTTTGGCCTTGATGTTCTGGGCGCCACCTGACCCAGCCCTTCTTGTGCTTTGGAGCTCAGCTGAGGTCATGTCTTCTGGGAGGCTTTCCAGACCCCCAAAGGCAGCTGTGTGTGTGTGTGTGAGAGAGAGAGAGAGAGAGAGAGAGAGAGACGGGGGCATGGGGATGCACAGCCCGGCTCCAGCTAGGCGACGCGCTGGTTGCTTCTGCTGACATCTCCTTGTTGTTTGTGGGGGCACAGAAGTTGAAGATTAACCTGAAAGAATGCCACTGTTGTAGAATGTGGAGTAAGGAGCGAGGCAGTAGGTGTGACAGAAGGGAGGGCCACCTGAGCCCCAGGCTGGACTTGGGGCTGTCACAATGTTGTCCTCCAGGCTCTGAGGTCTGTGGGCTGGTCCCTCTGACTTGCCTTTCTCCCCCTTCCTCTTTCTCTCTCAGGGGGGGATGTGACCATCACTGACCTGCCCCTGGCCCTAGAACAGATCCAGGGTAACGTCCAGGCCAACGTGCTGCCGGGAGTGCGGGCCCAGGTCCGCGCCTTGTCCTGGGGGGTGGATCAGCACGTCTTCCCCGGAGACTATGACCTGGTGCTGGGGGCCGATATCGTGTACCTGGAGCCCACCTTCCCACTGCTGCTGGGGACCCTGCAGCACCTGTGTGGGCCCCAGGGCACCATCTACCTGGCCGCCAAGATGAGGCAGGAGCATGGGACCCAGAGCTTCTTTCAGCACCTCCTGCCCCAGTATTTCCACCTGGAGCTGGCCCAGCGGGACGAGAACGTGAACGTCAACATCTATAGGGCCAGGCACAGGAAACCTAAATCTGCGTGACGACGCCCCCTTCTGGCATTCTCAACCCCGGGTTCCCCCTCTCCCAAGGAACTGAGTGTCACCAAAGCCATACACACAAGGACCAAGAAGGATGAACTCACCTGGCCTTTCTCTTCCCCCTCCCCTTTCTTTGTTCCCCTAGACCTTTTGGAGGTCAGGAGCACCTGCTGGAGCCCTCCCAGCCCTGGTGCTAGAACAGTAGGCAGGCACCCAGCTGTTGTGCTCAGAGGAAGAGGATGGGAGGAGAGGAGCTAGGGTGTCTGGGGGAGGGGGCAGTAGGGAAACAGGATGCTGCTGTCTGCTGGCTTTTTTTTTTTTTTTTTTTGCAAAGTCTATGGGATTTTTTTTAAGGGAAAAAAAATCAGTGAGCATTAAGGATCTCTCCACGCCTTTACTAGAGAGCTGAGAAGAAGCCCAAATCACCCATTTCTTGTTTCTTGAGACACAATCTGGTAGGACCCTGTCCCTGGACTGGGTCTGGGCAGCAGGGATATCTGTCGGGGCTGGAGAATCGTGCTGCCCGGAAGAACCTGCCCCAAGCCTTGGCTTCTTCTTGTCTTGGGTCTTCCTCTGGGTTTCCAGGCTGTGTCACTCCTCCCTCCCTAGGGTGCTGTGCCTCCCCACTCTTCCTCTTCCTGCTGCTCGTGCCCGGGGCACTCTGCTTTCTGCCTAGGTCATGCACACTGGCTTCTCCCTGGCATTCTATCTCTCTGCTTCAAGCCATTCCTGCAAATGCACAGGATCTTCCAGAGTCAGCTCCGAGGAGCTCTCACCATGGCCTTGGGAAGCAAAAATGGGCTGCCTTGCCTTGCAGCCAGTCAGTCCCCCTGTGATCTCACTGCCTCTCATCGCCTCCCCTGGCCCCCTCCAACACAGGGACGCCACAAGGTGTGCCTTCCGTTCTCTGAATCCCATGCAGGCGCCTGATTCCTTCCATCCCTGTGGATGACCCTCCCTGGGCCACTGCTGCCTGCCAGAACCCTTCATTCCTCTTGGCCTGTTTCGTGAAAACAAGCCTCTCCCAGGTCTCCTGTTTCGATGCTGTTTCTTTTCCTCTTTTCATTTCATGGGACCTCATCTTGTCTTGTGCACATATTCGATCCTTGCTACCTCATTACCTTTAAAGGTACAGGCCTGTGGTTCCTTCATCTCTAATCCTCCCTGCTAAAATTTGAAGAGGATCTGCTGCAAAACTCAACCAGGCTTTTAAGCTTAAGGCAGTGATGATATTTCCAGGTGGGGGCCTGGGGGAAGGTCCTGGCTTCACTGGTGCCAGTAGAAGGTGCCTCCTGCCCCACCATGTGATTCTTCCTCTGTAACGGGCGCCATCATTCTCACCGGACCGTTACTGGACCATCGCCAGAGCCTGCATTATGCCATTTGAACTTTTAATCTCCCAATCCACAGACTAAACAAGAAACCCTCTTCCTTCGTCAGCACATTATCTCAGGTATTTTGTTGTAGTTGCCAAAAAATATATATAAAAAAAGCTGACAGCGCAGCCCCGAAGCCAGCTGGGTTCCTGCCACAGGGGAGATTCTCAACAGATACTTTAACCACCCCATACCTCAGGGACCAGCGTGAGCAAATTCTGCAGCTCACCGACTTACGCTGCCTCACAAGCTTGTCACGAATCACAAGTGGATAAGGAACATGAAAATGTAGTACGGGCAATAAAGAAGTAGTAAAGTGTTACTCGTTTGTCTTGCGCGTCGTCACCTGTTGGTCTATTATTTTGCCTGCTTGAGTGAAATGGGCATTTCAGCCTAGTGCCTTTCGGGAGAGACGCATGTGCTCCTCCGGCCAGCAGGTGGCGCCCCCGAATAGGCGCGATCTGGTGGAGTGTTTTGGCCCCGCGGCCACGCCGTAGTGCCGTCGCCTCACCTGTGCGCCGGCCGGCGGGAGTGGCCGCTGCCCTGCACGGAGATGTCGCTGCTGCGGTCACTGCGCCTGGACTTGGTCGCGCGGACTGGGAGCCGAGCGGTGAGGGATGCTGGCCCCGACGCTGACTTGTATTCCGGGCAATTCTCCTGGGGCGCCTGGATGACGCCTTTCCTGCCCTGACCCCCCGATTTCCGATGGCCCCCCAGTCCCCGGGCAGCCTGGCCTCGTCCAGGCCCAGAGCTCTGCGCTGGCCGCACCTCTGGAGTCCCGAGCTCGCCTCCCCGTCCTCGTCCGCCTTGCTCCCTCCTGCCCATCGCCCTAGCTTCTCGTGGCTTCCAACTTCTCACCCCTGTTTTCTGACCCCTGTAGGCGGGGTGCTCGGTGCTTCCTGCGCCCCAGCCACGGCCCACGTTCCACACCGGCCCCCTGCTTTCTTCCTCGGCTTCCAGCAAGGAGCTGCTCATGAAACTGCGCCGGAAAACGGGCTACTCTTTTGTCAACTGCAAGAAAGCCCTGGAGACTTGCGGCGGGGATTTGAAGCAGGTGGGGAGAGGGTGGTAACCGGGCGCCGGGACCCAGCCTGCTGGCTCACCCCGGGGAGCTTAGAAGTCACACCTGCCGCCCAGTGACCCACACGGGCAGGGCCCTGCGTCGGGGTTCCGGCTTCCCTGCCCCGTGGGAAGCATTTGGCTCTGGATCCTGGGGTTAGCAAATCCTAGCCCAGGCCGCCGTGCAGTGGCGGTTCCTGCCTCTTGGAGCTGGAAGGGTTTGGGAGAACTCTGGAGGGAAACCTTCATAGACTCAAATCCTGCTTCCTTCATAGTCCCGTGACCTTGGACAAGGCAATCGCCTTACCCCTCACCTAAGAGGTATTTTTTTATTTGGAAAATAAAGTTTGAAAGAAAGAGCTTCCATTTGTTGGCTCACTCCCCAAATGGGTGCAGTGCCTGAGCTAGGCAAGTCCAAAGCGAGGTGCTTCTTCCAGGTCTCCCCCATGGGTGCAGGATCCCAAGGACATGAACCACTGCTTTCTGTGGCTACCAACAAGGAGCTGGATTGGAAGTGCAGCAGCTGGGACTAGAACCAGCATCCATATGGAATACTGGCTCTGCACGGAGGCTAAACTTGCTGTGCCATGGTGTTGGCCCCTCCGTTCGCCTTTCAGAGCTGTGGCGTTCTTGTTTGTCCGTACTGTCACCTGCCTTCTCAGGAGGTTGTGAAGCTCCAGTTATAGTGTCTGGCATTTAGCATTTAGTGGTCAACTCAACGAATGAGTGCTGGGGCACTTTGGTTTGTTGAGAATTTAGTGGGAGCAGAAGAAACCCTGAACACAGCCTTTGCGTCTCCTTTCCCTTTGTCTGTGTAGGCAGAGACATGGCTCCAGCAGCAGGCCCAGAAGGAGGGCTGGAGCAAAGCTGCCAAGCTGCATGGGAGGAAGACCAGGGAGGGCTTAATCGGTCTGCTGCAGGAAGGAAATGCCACCGTGCTGGTCGAGGTGAGGCCCAGGGAGCACCCGTGGGTGTTGGGCTCGTGCCAGGGCCCTCTGCCCTTTCGGAAAGGATCTGTTAGTGAGCCATGGGGGACAGTGGGAGTTAAGCTTGCGGGGCCTCAGTGATGTCCTGTGGGTCCATTTAGGTTTGGAAATGAGCAGGTGTGTAGCTGGGGAGCGGTCCTGCTGTCTAGACCATCACTTCTATGTGTGAGTGCTATGTGGCCTCATGCCCCCTCACTGACTGCTTCCTGGAACAGATGGATATTAAAGATAACAGGTGTGTGAATTGGGGATGAGTCGGGCCAGCTGTTTCAGAGGAGGCTTGGGAAGCCTTCCTTGGTGAGACCCAGGGGTGAATTATTTTTGAGTGCAAGGAAGGAGGTAACAGAATGGTAGCGAAGTTGATCTGGAACTGGAGGTGGGCAGTCCCCAGCAGGTGGGAATTTGGGCTGAGTCCTGGTGGAACACCTGGGCTGTGGACTCTGCGCTCAGCAGTGGCAGGGATTGGGCGAGGGCCTGCAGGTGATCTGTGTCGCATGTGCACCTTGTTCTGACGACTCCCAGGCTTGTGGGCAGCCTGGATGGCCCTCAGGGGGCGGTGGGAGGCTGTCCCTGAGCAGCTCTGCAGCCACAGACGTTTGTTCCTGCAGGTGAACTGTGAGACGGATTTTGTTTCCAGAAATGTAAAATTTCAGCAGTTGGTGCAGCAGGTGGCCCTGGGCACCATGTTGCACTGTCAGAGCCTGCAGGATGAGCTCTCCACATACAGCAAGGTGAGTCTAGGCCCCGCAGCTCACTGACCCTGCAGCTTGCTGACCCCGCAGCTCTCTTTGAGTCCCAGCTGCTCCTAGTTTTCCTCAGTTGTTCTGTCTCGTCTCCTGATTTGACACCTCTGCTCAAAAGTTCTCGTGCTAGGCACACACCCTTCCTTGTGTTACTCTAACCCTATTCTTCATTTTAAGTTTGTTATTGTAGTGCTTTCATGTCACACTTTATTTGCGCATGGCCTTAGCAATGTTGGCTGTCGGCCCAGCACTCAGCTGGAGCTCATCAAATTGGCAGAATCAGCCAAATCAAGTGAAACCATCTGAGACTTCCCAGTCATAAGTCTGGAATGATTGAAGAAAAGGATTTCCAAAGAGCTAGGAGAAGACACAACTTATGGGAACAGGGTTGTGATGTTGTGGGTTGAACTGCTGCCTGCAGTACTGGCATTCCATATCAGAGTGTTGCTTCCAGGCCAGCTGCTCAGCTTCTGATCTGGATCGCAGCTGACCTACCTGCGAGAGCAGTGGAAGTGGTCCGGGTACTTGGGCTCTTGCCACCCTTGTGCGAGACCAAAACAGAAATTCTTGTTCATAAAAGGATAAGGGAAGGAATTGGATCAAACTGCTTTTGGTTCAGCTTTCTTGCCAGGGTGAAAACAAACCACCCAGCCACAGTGATTTCTTGGTGTGCTTATCATCACCTTTTATTCTTCCTGAGGAGGCCTCGTGTGCTGTGTGAGCACGGCCACAGACTTGTGTGCGTGGTGACTGGGTGCTTCACTCGAGGGATGACAGATTCTCCTCACTTACCCCCGAGGATTTGCCTCCCGACCATTCACTGACTTTCCTGCGCCTGTTTTTTCTACCGTGGTGAGGGACTTTTGGCCCTTTTAGCTTTGGTTGTCTCTTTATTTTTCCTTTTGGCTTTTAGTTAAAAAAAAATTAAAGAGAAATGATGTTATGTATTTCATAGGTACAATTCTAAGAAGATAAACATACTTCTTTAATTTTCTTGAAATTAAAGTTTGCTAGTATTCTTTCAGACATCTCAGTGAACTGTTTGTCCAGAGTCACTATGTGTTGGCATTTCACTGCATTTGCTTTATCATTTCAAACATTTTTAAAATTGTTATTTATTTGAGAGGCGGGCGGTAACAGAGTCCTGACTTGCTGGTTGCCTCGCACGCCTGCGAGTGGCGGGGTGGTGCCTGGCATGCCACTCAGCCCTGCCCCGTGGGTGGTTGGACCCTGATCACTTGTGCCATCATTGCTGCCTCCTGCGTGTGCAGTGGGGAGTAGCTAGGACTGGATCTTACTGGTGGGTGTGGGCAGAGGGGCATCCTAACCACCAAGTTACACACCCTCTGAGGCCAGGTTTTTTACTTTTTAAGTATTGTTACATAGTTGAGAGGGATGCATGCCCCTGTGGGCCTCTGATTAGGGTGGGGAGCTGGTGGGACACATGTTTCAGTCTTTTTTCCTGTCTGGGTCTGCAGTGCGGGAAGGGGAGGAAGCCACTCCTTGCTGTGAAACTGTCTCAGCACCCAGGGAAGGGGGACAGTCCTCTGATGACACCTTAGAGACTCCGACTTGAGGCAGAGTGTTCTGGGAGTGTGACTTGAGTGGTTTTGATAGCCCTGAGACCTTATGGGTTTTATTGCTCCAGGATGGAGAAGATCTTTCCAAGATCTGTTGGTTGACAAAGTCCACCTTAGTGCAACCCACAGACCCAGGAACATGCTGCAAACTTTGACCATGAGAATTAGAATTCTCTGACTTGTTCTGCTTTCCATCCTCTGATGAGGCAGTTGATGTCCCCTGCTGGCCTACATGGGTTGGCTGCCGTGTCCCCCATGTGCCTCTGGACATGCTGTCTATCACACAGGCATCAACAGCTGAGGAGGCCCCGTCACCATACATGTACTCCGAGGTCAGATTCACAGAGAGGCAGAAAGATCCTCTATCCATTGGTTTGCCCCCCAAGTAGCCACAGTAGCTGGAGCTGAGCTGATCTGAATCCAGGAGCCAGGTGCTTCTTCTGGGTCTCCCACGTGGGTGCAGGCCCCAACGCTTTGGGCCATCCTCTCCTGCCTTCCCAGGCCACAAGCAGGGAGCTGGAAAGGAAGTGGAGCAGTTTGGGATACAAACTGGTGTCCATATGGGATCCTGGTGCATAGAAGGTGAGGCCTTTAGCCAGTAGGCTACTGCACGAGGCCCCAACATATACTATTTTTTAAAAAATTTATTTAAAAGGCAGTTACAGAAAAAAGGAGACAGAGATCTTCTATCTGCTGATTCACTCTCAAAAGGCTGCAGTGGTTAGAGCTGGATGGGTCTGAAGCCAGGAACTATTTCTGGGTCTTTTTTTTTTTTTAAGATTATTTTATTTTTATTGGAAAGGCAGATATACAGAGAGAAGAAGAGATAGGAAGAAAAATCTTCCATCCACTGGTTCGCTCTCCAGATAGCTGAAATGGTTGGAGCTGAGCCTGTCTGAAGCCAGGAGCCAGGAACTTCTTTTGGGTCTCCCATGCGGGTGCAGGGTCCCAAGGCTTTGGGCTGTTCTCGACTGCTTTCTCAGACCACAGTCAGGGAAAACAGACTCATACATGAACTGGCTCCCATATAGGATCCTGGCATGTGCAAGGCAAGGATTTAGCTACTGAGCCATCATGCTAGGCCCTGTTTCTGGGTCTTAAGTATTTCTTTATTTGTTTGAAAGGGAGATGAGAGAGAAAGAAAAGGCGTGTCTTCCAGCTGCTGATTCACTCCCCATACGCTGTAATGGCTGGGATGGGCCCAGGTTGAAGCTAGGATTTTGGAGTTCCATCCAGGTCCCCCAAATGGGTAACAGGGCCTGACTTGGGCAGTTTTCCAGTGCTTTCCCAGACACATTTGCAGGGAACTGGATTGGAAGCTGAGCAGCCGCCAGGGCTTGAACTGGTGCCCATAAGAGTTGCCAGCTTACGTTGTGGACTGAAGTTTAGCTCACTGTGCCACAAAGCCAGCCTAGCCTGTTTTTTTTTTTGGTGGTTATGTTATTCATTTGAAATACAATTAGAGTCTTACCCTGTCTAGTCAATGTTTGTTTTTACCCCTCACCTTTTTTGATTTGATGCTAGTTTTGAACATGTAACACATTAGCACAATTAGGAACCTAAGAACTGTTAAACCAGAGAAGCGCAGGAAGTCTGGAGTCCTGTTGTACTTGAAATGTTTCTTTTTGCAAAAACAAGCTTCTTTATAGAAGTACTTTTTAGGCAAATGGTGGTATAACATCTGGTTCTGTCTCTGCATTATGTGTCCTGGCGCCTCCAGCACATCCTTTTCTTTTTCAGGGCTGCTTCATGTTCTGCTGTGTTAATGTGTGGGGATTGAGTCAGCCAGCTTCCTGCCTTCGGCCATTTAAGCCATTTCCCAAATCTTCTTTTTTTTTTTTAAAGATTTATTTATTTATTTTTTTTTTTTTTTTATTTCTTTTTTTGTTATTTTTTTTTTTTAAAGATTTATTTTTATTATTTTTTCATTGGAAAGGCGGATATACAGAGAGGAGAGACAGAGAGGAAGATCTTCCGTCCGATGATTCACTCCCCAAGTGAGCGCAACGGTCGATGCTATGCCGATCCGAAGCCAGGAGCCTCTTCTGGGTCTCCCACACGGGTGCAGGTTCCCAAAGCTTTGGGCCGTCCTCGACTGCCTTCCCGGGCCACAGGCAGGGAGCTGGAAGGGAAGCAGGGCTGCCGGGATTAGAACCGGCGCCCATATGGGATCCCGGGCGTGCAAGGCGAGGACCTTAACCGCTTGCGCCACCGCGCCGGGCCCAAGATTTATTTATTTTTATTGCAAAGTCAGATATACAGAGAGGAAGATTTTCTGTCTGATGATTCACTTCCCAAGTGAGCCCAATGGCTAATGCTATGCCGATCCGAAGCCAGGAGCCAGGAACTTCTTTCAGGTCTCCCACATGGGTGCAGGTCCCAAGGCTTTGGGCTGTCCTCGACTGCCTTCCCAGGCCACAAGCAGGGAGCTGGATGGGAAGTGTAGCTGCCGGGATTAGAAGTGGCACCCATATGGGATCCTGGCACATTCAGGGCTAGGACTTGAGCTGCTAGGCCACGCTGCCAGGCCCCGTTTCCCAAATCTTGTGAAGAATCTTCCGCGTATACACTTTAGTATTGTTGCAAGTATATCGCCACTGTCAAGGCTAGCGCGGTGAGAGTCAGAGGACAGAGGCGTCTATGGTTCTGCCATACACTCTCCAGTTCCTTCCACGGGGTGTGCCCCGTTTTTTTGCACAGCAAGCCACAAATGCAAGTGTCCCACCTTTCTCATTTCATGCTTGTGTGAAGGTGCTGTTCTTGGGAAGAAAGCATGTTCTAGAAGTTAGGTGAGAAGATGGGAATGTTGTGGAGCTTTGGGGCAGAGTGTGGTGATAGAATAAAATATTTATTAAAAGTGCAACTCTGCAGAGTGTCTGACCTGTGCTTGTGCCCCCAGGGCTTCCTGGATTCCAAGGCGCTCTCGGGCCTGCCCACAGGGCCTGACCGGGAAGGCTTCCTGAAGGATCAGCTGGCCTTAGCCATTGGTGAGTGTCTAGGAATCCTAGGAGCTCCGGACTGCACCATCCCACGTCTTCCTTGTCCCTTTGGATCTTGAATTCCCAGTTGTTGTGCGTAAGCGTCAGGAGGTTTGGATGGGAGGAGTGGGCTGTGGGTTCCCTAGTAGGGAGCGGAGGCACCTGGGGGAACTCTTAGGAGATTTTAGCCTGTGGTGACATGGAGGAAACAGCGTCCCGCAATATTAGATGCTGAGTTCCTTTTTTTAAAAATTTTATTTTTATTGGAATGTCAGATTTACAGAGATAAGAAGAGACAGAGAGAAAGATCTTTCATCCACTGGTTCATTCCCCAAGTGGCTGCAACAGCTGGAGCTGAGCTGATTCGAATCCAGGAGCTGCTTCTGGGTCTCCCACATGGGTGCAGGGTCCCAAGGCTCTGGGCCATCCTCTACTGGTTTTCCAGGCCATAGGCAGGACCTGGATGGGAAGTAGAGCAGCTGGGACACGATCTGGTGCCAATATGGGATTCTGGGCACATGAAGTTGGAACATGAGCAAGTTGAGCTATTGTACTGGGCCTGCTGAGTTTCTTCAGAGAAGTTAGACTGAGCTTGTAGCTTTCAGCTCTTTTGGCAACCAGTTAAAGTGGTTTTTCTGTCTGCTAGGAGTTCAGTCTTTGTTTCCAGAACTTCTGGTCCCGAGTTTATGAAGGGACATCCTCTGAGGGCCCGCTGGCTGCAGGAGCCACGTTGGGGTGTGGCGGTGGGCGGTAGGGATGCTGCTGCTAGGCTGAGGGGGCAGGCTGGGCCGACCTGGCTGGAATCGGCTGTTCCTCACAGTTTGAGGTCAAGGCCCCAGTTCTGTTTTTGCCAGCTCATCTTGCAGTATCTGCTGCTTTGGTGAGTCACATGTGACAAGCCAGACAGTCAGCTATGCTTGGGGCTTATTAAGAAATTCTGGAAGGAATTTTAGCCTTGTCAGCTTCTGGGAATTTGCCACAGCCTGTTCATGATGCTGTGTGTCCCACAGCCATCCTGGACCCTGGTGTCCTTCCAGTGTCTTTGGGCCTCTGGCATCTGCGTGTGTTTGGCATCAGCCACTTTGGAGTGTTATCTTTTTGCTTCTGATGTTCTGATGAGAGGAAGCTGAAGCTGTCCGCTGACATAGGTTCTGGATTTTCGGGGGCTTTTAGTTGTTTCAGGCTTTTCCCTGAAATAATGGATAAGCAAAGAATTGTCTGTGTCAGTTATGGTGACCTTGGGAGGGTAGTGATTTGGTGGGAAAAAGCACTAGAAGGCTTGCGAGTCAGCATTGAGGTTTAGTTCTCATTCTGCCATGTATTACTGGGTAGGCTCCTTGAAGGTGCGACCTTAAGAACAGCCGGCACTGGAGGGCCGGCGCTGTGGCTCAACAGTGGAGGATGGCCCTGTTCTGTTAAATCTTAAACATATAACAAAACAAAGCCTTGAGACCCTGCACTAACGTTGAAGACCTGGAAGAAACTCCTGGCTGTTGGCTTCAGATCAGCTCAGCTCTGGACGTTGTGGTCACTTGGGGAGTGAACCAGCAGATGGAAGATCTTGCTCTCTTTCCTTCTCTGTAAATCATCTCCTTTACAATAAAGTTAAATAAATAAATAAATCTTAAACATATAACAAAACAAAAACAACAAAGAAAAGAATAGCGCTTCTGTGCTCGGTGCTGGGCAGATCTGGTCACAGGTGCTTGTGGCTCTGTTACCTTAGGGTCTCTGGTGATAACCCCGAGGCGAGGGTGATAGCATTCCCATTTCACAGGTGAAGAAACTATGGCTGGGTAAATTTGTAGCCAGGGTCATGTCATTAAGCCACTTACCAAGGGGGCTGACCCAAGACTCAGGCTGGTGATGCCATGGCTTATGTTCTAGAAGAGAACCTGCCAGGGCATGTTCCTCCCCAGAGGCCTTCCCTGTCTCCCTCCCCATTTCCTCTTGGACACAGAAGGTGGTATTCAGCCCCTGAATGCAGGTCTGATGCATGGGGAGAGGGAGTCGCTGCCTCCCTGTGCCTGTCCTGAGTGTGTTTGGATGCCATGAAGGGCATCGTGTTCTGCTGGTGTGTTGATTATGGTGCTGTTCTGCTTTGTCCCAGGGAAACTGGGAGAAAACATGATCCTGAAACGTGCCGCCTGGGTGAAGGTGCCGTCCGGCTTCTATGTGGGCTCATACGTCCATGGAGCCGTGCACAGCCCCTCGCTGCACAACCTGGTGCTGGGCAAGTACGGGGCCCTGGTCATCTGTGAGACGGCCGAGCAGCCAGCCAACCTGGAGGATCTGGGCCGCCGCCTCGGGCAGCATGTGGTGGGCATGGCCCCCCTCTCCGTGGGCTCCCTGGACGACGAGCCCGGGGGAGAGGCAGAGACCAAGATGTTGTCCCAGCCCTACCTGCTGGACCCCTCCATCACGCTGGGACAGTATGTGCAGCCACAGGGTGTGTCCATAGTGGACTTTGTGCGGTTTGAGTGTGGAGAGGGCGAGGAGGCGGCGGAGGCTGAGTAGGTGGCGGAGACCTGGGGCCTGGGAGATCTGGGCATTGTTACCAAAAAGTCTGCAAGGCCTCTCCAACCTCTGTTTTATACTTGAGTTTATATTGAAGTTATTACTTTATGAATCCAGTTATTAAAGAAACTAGCCATATACTGAAGAGTGGATTCTTTCCATTGCTTGAATAATGCGGGGTTTAGCTGTCTGGGGCTTCCTGATGACAGGCATTAGAAGACAGGTGGTTACTTAACTGGTGTGACAGGGCAGCTGGGACACAGGCTCATCCCCCGTGTGCTGTGTCCCCTCCAGCATGGACTCCTTGCGGCACCCCTGAAATTCCTACCCCTTTTCCATTACATGCAAGTCTTGTGTCCTATGTTTGCTCTGTGAGCTTGCACACTATGCTCCCACCTGGGTCTGCCTCACTCAGGGAACTTGGGGTACATGATTCTTTTGGGACTGACCATTCAGACTTTAGGGTGTGGAGTGTGGGCTCATCTGGTGGCTGTGGGGGCTCAGGGCATGCACCATGGGTGGGTGTGTAGTGGGCTGTGGGGGCTGGTGGCATGCACCCTGGGTGGGTGTGCAGTGGACTGTGGGAGCTCATGGTATACACCTGAGTCTGGTTGTTTCACAGGCTTACTGTTTCTCACATGGATGGTGGGGTGTGGGTGTGAGGATTGTGAGGTTTCCTGGACAGCTGTAAGGCAGTTAGGGACATTCTTGGCCCAGAGTTTGGGACCACAGCGGCCCAGTTACCCAGGGAGCTCATTCTCCATCACCCCTCACTTTCCAATGGGATGAAATATCACCGTGACATGCAAACCCCAGATACCAAAATAAGCCCCAGATGCTTGCACTGTTGCCTTTATTTGAAAATTTAAAAATGCTCTCACATGACAGATCTGACATTTAGATCTTGACCTTGGCGAACATGGGCTAACACACTCTACGTTCAATAGGTTTCAGAAATTCTGAACCTAAGTCTAGGTCCTGGCACCATACTAACCATTTTAAGCTTAGTTTTTTGGGGGGAGGTTCTCTCTTTTCGACATCTCCTGAGTCATGCAATTTGCTCTCTTTAGCTAGAAGGCCGCAAAACCCACGAAGTGGGTGGTTAACATTTTCAGTGTTTAACCACCAAGGGATGCAAAGATGAGGGGAGAACAAAATGGAGGCCATGCTGGCCTTTGCAGATGCTTGTACCGACAGTGAAGGAGCTGTGTTAGGGAGAGGTTGGCAGGGGATTCTCTGCTGCCTCTTTCTGCTCTCTTCTTTGGCTGGGAAGTTCCCTCTGCCCACCTGCCTCAAAAAAGGCCCTTTTCTTTCTTGAGTTGGAGCTGCTTCCAGCCGGGCAGAGCAGCAAACTGCCCCCTTGGGATGCCGAACACAGCCACAAAATCCTGGTCGGAGAGGTAATTCTAAGGGAGCAAGCACAGTTTGTAGTTAGAGGGAAGGTGTGACTTCCGTGGGTGCCACCAGGAGCGACGCTGGAAGAGGCAGGAAGGGGGAAGGGCTGTCCTGCGAGGATCTTTGTAGGAGGAGGTGAGATGAATTCCTCCAGAAAGCTGTCATGGACTTGAGGGACGCATAGGAGAGGTGTCCTGCAGTCTGTGGGGGCCCAGGTGGCCTGTGCTCACAGTCCTAGCTAATACCAGTCTGTTGCCAGAAGAACGGGAAACGGCTTCTAGAAGATGGGTGAATCTCAGATGTGAGACAGGGGAAGGAGGATGGAGAGCTATGCTGAGTGAGGCTCTTCCTTGCTTCCTATTTTCATGAGCGTATTTACCCAGAAATCTTCACATGCAAGATCAGGCAGATCTTGCTGAGAGCATGCACTTCTAACATTTATGCCTTTGTAAAGACTATTTTCAAGGCAAAGATGATTAATACCATGTCCAGAAAGTTGTTAGAGCCCAGATATTTAAGGGCTGTTAGAAGCAACATGGTGGGAAATCTAGACTTCCCCAATCAACTCCTTTAAGGGGAAAATGAATTCATTCCTTCAGTGTGGATGTGTTAACTCGACTGAAACTCGGGAAGTGCCAGCCAGGCACAGTTTTAGGTGCTGAGACTAGGACAGTGAATAAGACGAAAGGATGCTACTAGAGGCGATAAAAGCGCGGAAGGAAGTGTAAAGGGACCGGAGCCATGGAGGCAAGGAGTAGCAGAACTCAGGGAAGTTGGGGGCCATGATGCTGGAGCCAAGGCCTAACTGGCAGAAGGGAGCTGGCTCTGTAACGAGCTGAGAGAAGGATGTGTTTGCAGGTGCACTAGCAAATGTAAAGGCTGCCAGGCTAGCATCACTCTGTGCAGGGAGCAGGGGCCAGGAAGTAAAGCGGGTACTGATGTGTGAGATGGGACAAGAGCGGTAGCAAGGGCCACGCTGCAAGGTCAGCGGACTCTTCTATGAACAGTGGGGAGTCGTTTGATGTGTTTTCAGTGGTATTTGTCTTAAAAGATGCTCACACTTTCCCATGGGAGATGGGTTGCAGCTATGGGTGAAAAACAGTAGGAACACAACAGCGTACCATAGCTGGATTTGCCAGTGGCAGAAAGGGGGAGGGGAATGGACCCAGGCTGGAGAGAGACTAGAGCAAGCCTTGGCAGTGGGGGTTGAACTACTCAGTAGCTCTAGTTGTACAGCAAGGGCCAGCCCCGTGCCAGGACCATCCTGTTTATTCCACTTGCACTGGGCACTCACCTCCTTTTTGGCAGGGTTCACGCCCTCAGGCAGCTCCTGAGGCTGCTTTTTCAGCAGAATTTCTACAGGATAGTATTTTGGCTCACTGTCCTCGGAATCCAGGGAAAGGGTTGCATTCTTCATGTCCTGGATAGGAATGTAGACACTGAGAAGAAAGGCCACTCGGTTTGTGTGTGGGGAGGGGGAGCAGAGGGGGCTGGTATTGAACATGGTGACACTACCTTGTGCCTCGTAATCACTTGGAGCAGACCAGTGCCCAGCCCTGGCTGCGCATATCGAACCTTGGGAAGCTGACAATGCTCCAGGGTTGGAGCTGCCTTCTTGGGAAGGCTGCTTAGCAAGCACAAGGAGATGCTGCTCTCCCCAGTTTGGCATATGTCTTCATCTAGACACTGGAATCCCTCATGCTGTCGGGCACCTTGATTCAGGGCCCTGCATTTCCAGCCTCTAAAGGTCTTCAGGTTGGAGTCGTACTTGACTTAAGCACAATTTAAAGACCCCACAGCCCCTGCAGCTTTGGGACCTGGGCTTGGAGCAGAGCCAGGACGACACTACCAGATGGTGGGACACCTGATGCTGTGCATGCCGCCCGGCTTTAAAGCTGTCGGGTTCCTGGCCAGAGGCTCTGCTTCTGGTAACCATTGCTTTATTTATATTTACCAAATGCACACTCCTCTCCTTGTCTACTTTGATGCGAAGGTTATTTTTTAATGAGTAAGGAATCAAGTCTTAGAGTCAGGCTCCTCATCAGACCACCTTCCTGAACTGAGAACAAAACTACTGTCTTAAAAATAAAGGCTGGCACTGTCGTGTCATGGCTAAGCCTCCGCCTACGATGCTGGTGCCCCAGATGAGCAGAGATTTGAGCCTAACTACTCTGTCTGCAGTGCAGCTCCCTGCTAATGTGCCTGGGGAAGCAGCAGAAGATGCTCCAAGTCCTCAGGCCCCTGTGCCCACATGGGAGACCTGAAAAGAGCTCCTGGCACCTGCCTTTGGACTGGTTCGGCTCTGATCATTGCAGCCATTTGGGGAGTGAACCAACAGATGGAAGATCTCCCTCTCTTTCTTCTGTCATTCTGCCTTGCAGATAAATAAATATTTTGTTAATTATTTTTACTTGAAAGGCTATATCACTGGTCTGGTCTGAAATAAGTAATTAAATCTTTAAAACCAAGTGGGGGGGGGGGACCCAAGCAGACAGCTAGTGAAGTACTAAGAAGGACACAGTGGGGTTTGGCCCTGTGGTGTCAGCAGTGTGACTTTATTCTCCAGGAGCCGACCCCACTGACTCACGGCAGTGATTCTCCGAATGGCAGCCGCGTCTCCTAGCTCTTCTTTCAGTTGTTCGTAGGATTTTCCTTCCTAAAAAGAGGAAACACAGAATGAAGGGCTGCTGAGAGGCAAGTGACACCCGACATCTCTTTAGCATCTTCAAGAAAAGCAGACAAGTTTGAGGACCTCGGCATCTCAGGGGCAGGTGAAAATAATCTGTCATGGACAACGTGGTCTGCATCCCCTGATGGCGCCCTCAGTCCTCTGTGCAGGAAGTGAAGGCCAAGAAGCTGGGCCGGAGCTGTGGAGCACCAGGTTAGGGGCTAGCGCTGCAAGAGCACTAGATTAAGCCTCCTGCAATGCTGGCGTCCCCAAATGGCGCTGGCTCGAGCTTTGGCTGCTCGACTTCTGATCCAGCTCCCTGCTAATGTGCCTGGGAAAGCAGCAGAGGATGGTCCAAGTGCTTGGGCCCTTGCACCCTCATGAGAGCCCCAAAAGAAACTCCTGGCTCCAGGCTTTGGATTGGCCTAGCTCCTGTCATTTCAGTTATTTGGATAGTGAACAGAGAACAAAAGATCTCTCTTTATCTTCCTGGAGTGGTAGCCTAGTGGCTAAAGTCCTCACCTTGAACGTGCCAGGATCCCATATGGACGCTGGCTTTAATCCCTGCTGCCATTCTTCCCATTCAGCTCCCTGCTTGCAACCTGGGAAAGCAGTCAAGGGCAGCCCAAAGCCTTAGGACCCTACACCTGCATGGGAGACCTGGAATAAGCTCCAGGCTCCTGGCTTTGAATCAGCTCAGCTCTGGCTGTTGTAGCCACTTGGGAAGTGAATCATCAGATATATATCTTAAAGCTTAAACAAAATTAGAGGGCCCAGCACAATATCCTATTGGCTAAATCCTCGCCTTGCAACCTCTGGGATACCATTTGGGCACCAGTTTGTGTATCGGCTGCCCCACTTCCCATTCAACTCCCTGCTTGTGGCCTGGGAAAGCAGCCTAGGATGGTCCAAAGCCTTTGGACCTTGCACCTGCGTGGGAGACCCGGAATAAGCTCCAGGCTCCTGGCTTTGAATCAGCTCAGCTCTTGCTGTTGTGGTCACTTGGTGAGTGAGGCCGTGGATGGAAGATCTTTCTCTGTTTTTCCTTCTCTCTGTAAATCTGACTCT